CCCCTTCTTGGCCCACCCCAGCCTAGACCTGACCTGTCCTGGGAAGGTCTGGGATGCAGCAACTCTGATATTAAGTGGGTCTATAATGCTGGTGACCTTCCCTTTAAAATAGCTAAATTACAGCATCATGTATTGCTCTGGGCTCATTATAGAATGTCCAGCATAAAAATGTAAAACCCAAAACATTTCGGGCATTTGAAGCATTTGACAAAATGCACTACAGACCTGCACTGAGGTCAGCTCTGGGATTGGAGAAAGCCCTTCCTCAGTTCCTGTCTGCCTTGTGGCCCAGAGGGCAGGTGGGGTGTGGAGCTTGGGAGGACTATGCCAGTCACACCCTCCTGGTGTTGGGTCATTGGATGGCAGCCTGGTGGCCTGAGGATTTGGCCTGTTTCCCATTTACATTTTCTTGATTTTCCTCCCACCCCCAAGGTCTTGCTTTGCACTCACTGATTGTGTACCCTGTTACTGATGGGTGTCCCCTCTCAGGAAAACATGTAGCCTCTCAGAAGAGGTTCTCTAGAGACTTTATCATAACCTGGCATGTGGGGGAGACCCTAGAAGGAGTTCTGGGTACTCTGGGCCTGCCTCCCTGTAGACAGAGTGGCTGTTCTACTTAACTGAAATGTGCTTCTGGCATTCAGCCTCTTATGAAGAGGCTAAATCTGTTTTCAGAACCTGAATCTGTTTGCATTTTACCGAGGTCAGGTTTCCTTTGCAGTTTTGCCTCATAGACTCATTTTGGGTACACTGGATGTTCTGCTGTGAGCCAATGAAAACGGGCCTGAGGGGGATGCTGTACTAGGTCCTGTGGGAGCAGAGGCTGTTCAAAGAGTTAGTGCTGCTCTCTTCAAAACCAGGCCCTGCTGGCCTGTCCTTTCTGTGGTCTGTTTAGTCAGATGGGAAGTTCCTTCTGTTTTCTAGAAATCCCAGCCAGGCCTCAAAAATGTGATTCTGTGGTCCCAGAGGAAATGAGGTAGGAGCATCCTAGGCCTCCAGAGACAGCCCCAGACTTGGTGGAGCCTGGTGACATTTGAAGATGAACTGTGAACGCAGCTCTTGTGGGTGATGAAGAAGGAGCTGCTACTCTTCTTTCTAAGTCTTGTTGCTTCTCTGGTGTCTGTAGTCTCAGTACTTACTTCTTTGCACCTCTCCTTATTTCAGCAAGGCTTTGGGTTGTGGCAGGCTGTGGACCCCCTTTCACCAGGGGAGACTCGCCACCAGTGGGCCCTCTGCATACAGACTGCACCTTCATGGACAGCCAGGGTGCCTCAGGCCCCAGTTTGAAACTGTGTAGAAAGGGAAAGCTACATCTCAACAGGGACCTTAAGTCCCTGTGGCAACAAAAATAACATGTGGTGGAGGGAGTGTGTGGCCCTCCAGGATGGTGTTGATGCAGGACTTGCCTAAGGCTGGGAGAGGAAGATGGTTCTTCTCTTCTTGCTCAGCCCTGGGGAAAACAGCCAAGCCTGCCTTCTCCAGGGACACTCCTGCACCAACCAAGGGCACACTCTGCAGGACATGGTTTGGTTTGCCCCTTCAGGACTCATGAAGAGTCCTCCTGGGGTGTTGAGGGCCGGAGGAAGGTTTTGTAAGAAAAAATCCTGGAGATGCCCCGCATCTCTAAGACAATCCTTAGAGGGGCACCTGGGTGGCTCAGTCATTTAAGCGTCTGACTTTGGCTCAGGTCATGATTTCACCGTTCATGGGTTTGAGCCCCACTTCAGGCTCTGTGCTGACAGCTCAGAACCTGGAGCCTGCTTCAGATTCTGTGTCCCCCTCTCTCTCTCTCTCTGCCCCTCCCCCGCTCATGCTCGCTTTCTCTCTGCCTCTCTCTGTGTCTCAAAAATAAATAAGCATTTAAAAAAATTTTTAAATGAAGAAGGCATGGAAAGATCTTTCAGATATCCTGTATTTTTTAAAAGTTGAAAAATAGGGGTGCCTGGGTGGCTCAGTTGTTGGTTGAATGTCTGACTCAGCTGAGATCATGATCCCAGGGCCGTGGGACCAAGCCCTGAGTAGGCCTCTGAGCTAAGCCTGGAGCCTGCATGAGATATTCTGTCTCTCTCTCTCTCTTTCTCTCCCATTTGTCCCTCTCCCCCACTTATGCACACTTTCTCTTTCTTCAAAATTAAAAAAAAAAAGTTGCAAAATAACACGTATGGTGTTACACTTACATAAAAACATGCTTATCCATGTGTGTTATCTATTTATATAGGTCTGTGTGTTCATCTACCTCGTAGACTTGGGAATAATTTGAAAGCCTACACTCTAAGCAGTGCTTACCTCTGGGAGTGGAGTTGGGCTTTTGTTTTGCTTTGTTTTGTTTTGTTTTGTTTTTGTTTATATACTTTTAATTGCTTGAATTGGTTACAACTAAAAGTAAAATAGAAAAACTGGAGGATTGTTCACAATAGGTGTGTTCATGATTTGCGGAGGCATGGCCAGGTGGTGGTGGATGGGGGCTGGGAGGATAGTTAGTAGTCAAGGCAACAGGGAGAGCATGCGGTGGGGGGAACATCTGCCTGGGGAAGTGTGGGTGTGTGGTAGGTTCTGCAGTCAGGGTCTCCTAGTCACTGCTCACCCTCCTCACCCTGATTCCTTGACTCTCTTTCACATACTGAATTTTGCCACTTGTCTTTCTTACCATTATGTTCTCCTGTCCATTTACTTCTGGCTTATCAAAAATAAGCATTGGCAAATATCAGTAGTTGTATGCAGCTCACCACAGGTGTCTGTTTGCAAAAGGACAGAGCTCCCAGCTTAGGTGGGGGACTGACCTCGGATGAGAAGTGTGACAGATGTTGAGTTAGTAATGGTATTTAGTTTTCTGATTTATCCTTGATGTTTTTACATGTATATCTATGTTACTCCATGTTGTTTCTGCAGTCAAAACTGTCCGGGATGGGGCAGGTGTTCAGAGCTCCACCTATCCATGCCCTTTCATCACTTCCCCAAGCTTCTTTCTAGGAATGCACGCATAATTTGATGAGTGGATAGAACAGGCCTGTTATCCTTTCACTCCTGCATCACACCTGAGGCTGAGATGCTGGCAGTCTTCATACCTGATCAGCAGGTGTTTAATCAGGAGCTCAGGGAAGGCAGTTCACCTTATAAGATCATAATGGAGATTCTATTCAAAGTCAGTTTTTTTACGTCACTGATTTTACTGTTTCCCTGAGTAAGACGATACTCTTGGTGGAGGGAGGAGGGGATTGATATGAACAGATTTCAATCCTTCATACAGGTTTTGTGCTAATGCAGACCTCCCTACCCCTCCTGGATGATGCATGGGCAAACACCATTGACATTAAAAATCATATCTTTATAGAATTGGCATTTATTGTGCTGTTTCTTTTTTTTTTTAATTTTTTTTTAACGTTTATTTATTTTTGAGACAGAGAGAGACAGAGCATGAATGGGGGAGGGTCAGAGAGAGAGGAAGACACAGAATCTGAAACAGGCTCCAGGCTCTGAGCAGTCAGCACAGAGCCTGACGCGGGGCTTGAACTCACGGACCGCGAGATCATGACCTGAGCCGAAGTCGGACGCTTAACCGACTGAGCCACCCAGGCGCCCCGTGTGCTGTTTCTTATTAGTAAGAGATGTTACTTTATTGTTTCGTGTTTATGAATTGTTTGATGATTAATGAGCTTGATCAGTTTTCCATGTTTGTTTACTTATCGCATCTCCTCTTTTCAGAATTGTCCACAGTCCTGTGTCTGTATAATATACTGACCAGCGTGAAGTCGCCATTGTTGTTGGTTAGAAAACTCCAGTGTTGGCAATATCATATGGTTCATCCTAGTATCTTTAGGACCTCAGTGTTTTACACGGCTTAGCAACATCTTTCTAGTTATAAAGTGTTTCACTTTTTATAGAATTTTTTGAGAAATATAAAAATGTTGAGAATAGAAAATGGAAATGTAGAATATCATAAAATCATCTGTTACCATTTTGGTGTATTTTTTTTTTTTTTTACTATATTTCCCCCCAAGAATTGCAGAAGTCTCTTGATAGATTTGTTCTAGACATAAGTGAATTTTGTATGTGAACTGACCAGTACGTATGCCAGCTATTATTATTATAAAGTTTTTATCCTGGCTTGGTATTTTATCAACTGCACTTCCTATGCTGTTTAATATTTTTCAGAAATGTGTTTTTTAAGCCTGTTGGCTATTCTGCCATATAGTTGTTCTATAACTTAGCAATCTGTTTTCTTTTGTTGGACATTTTGTTTTCTTTTACGTTTTTGTCTGTCCTGAAGTACAAGGAATTTCTGTAAGATATTGTGTATGTGAAATAACTAGGTCAGATAATACAATTATTTAAAAATTTCTTGGTATACAAAGTATATTTCAGAAGGCATTTAATTGTCACTTTCTCCAGAAATATGTGAGAGGCCCCTTTGATGATAGCCTCAGTTAGCATTGGGGTTTTTATTCTTGATATTTGACAGTGGCAAAGAGTATCTTTGTTTTAATTTGAACATTTTATATGGTTATTATCCATATACTTTTTCCTTTGTGATTAAGTAACATCCTCTATATATTTTATTGGAGTTTCCATTTTTTATTGTAAATAATTTTATTTAGTAAAATTTAGTAACATTTTTACTTTATAAAGTATTTATAACTAAATACCAGTAAGGAAAAAAATACCATACTTATATATAGAGAGAGAGAAAAATTAGAATGTATGTTTGTCAAAATATTAGTAATGATATTTTTAGGTGGTGAAATTTTGGATGATTTTAAGTTCTCTATACCTATCTCTTTTTCCTGATTATTCTATAATAGATATTTTCTTACAGAACAAAGAAATTCTGGTTCTTTTGAACAAGGACTGGCTCCCCATTCACATGTTTCTGACCTCTCCTGTAGAGGTCTCACAGGACCACCCTGGGTGCCACCATACCAGGCTCATTGGAGCAGTGAAAAAATGTGGCATGTGGCAATAAGAGTGTACTCTTGTTTCTCTTTTCCCCCTGGCATGTCCAGCCTGCTATGGGATGGGTGAAGAAGAAGAGAACCACTATGTTTCACAGCTCAAAGAAGTCTACAGCAGCTGTGACACCACAGGGACAGGCTTTCTGGACCGGGAAGAGCTGACCCAGCTCTGCCTTAAGCTTCATCTGGAAAAGGAGCTGCCCATCCTTCTGCAAACACTTCTTGGAAATGACCACTTTGCCAGGGTGGGTATTTGACTTCATTCTCATGAGGAAAAGCACAGAATACTATAGTTAGCTGTAGGCATTTGAGAAATATCAGTTGACTAAAGAGACAGACCAAAGGAGAGTTACTAGGAACTGGAAAGCTGCTTTTCCTTCTGCTGAACTTCTACATTGTAGCAAGAGTTTCCTTAAGATTACTTTTTTTTAATGTTTATTAATTTTTGAGAGAAAGCATGAGTAGGGGAGGGGCCGAGAGAGAGGGGGACAGGGGATGAGAAGTAGGCTCTGCACTGACAGCTGTGAGCCCCATGCGGGGCTCAGACCCATGAACCATGAGATCATGACCTGAGTCAAAGTTGGACGCTCAACTGACTTAGCCACCCAGGTTCCCCTAAGATTATTTTTTTAAAGCATAGTAACTTCCAGAGGTTTGGTTTGTTTTTTCCAGAAAGGTGTTTGAGTGATTTATTGGGGGAGGGGGATGGGATGGAAGGTTGGTATGGGTAAATGGTATGTGGTTCACAAACAAACACAAGGATCTGTGGGCAGCTGACATACTGTCATTGAGAGAAAGGCAACTTCAAACTACCTTGAAGGCAGACTGTCTAGTAAAATTACACAGCTTGAAATTCATTATAGCAGATGAACAAAGCAACTGCACACCACTGTTGCAAAACAAAACATAGATACGTATGTTGAGAGGTGTCCTGTGATTTCATCTAGGCCAGATCGAGGAAAGTATGAACTCAAGTTGTTTTTGCTAGGAAATTCAAGGTCATCTAGAATGGTGATCTAGAATCTAGACTACAATTTGCTTTACTGACAGAAACACTGAAAAGTACCTCCTACTTTGTCCCTACTTCTTAAATGTGTCCAGATGTTAATGTTTTAGTGTTAAAAACAGTGCCTGTTATCTCGTTGGTCATCTTTGAAGGAAGAACATTTTTTCCAGACAAATCAATGAAACCATTTTTATTTTGAATGATAAAAAAAAAATCCAGCCTGCAGATTTTCCTGAATGGGCTCTTGGACAAAAACAAATGCAGAAAAACAAGAAAAAAATCCCTCACTGCCAGCATAGGGAGAGTCCAGACGAAATGTACCTCTTGTTACTTCCCCAAAGCACCCACTGCCCCATATTGCCAATGCCTGCCAGTAGGATACTGTTACTCCCTCTTGGGGAGCTCTGGCTCAATTAATCTGACCACACTGTGTCTCTCTTCATTCTATTCCTGATTTTTTTTTTAAATTTTTTTTTCAACGTTTATTTATTTTTGGGACAGAGAGAGACAGAGCATGAACGGGGGAGGGGCAGAGAGAGAGGGAGACACAGAATCGGAAACAGGCTCCAGGCTCTGAGCCATCAGCCCAGAGCCTGACGCAGGGCTCGAACTCATGGACCGCGAGATCGTGACCTGACTGAAGTCGGATGCTTAACCGACTGCGCCACCCAGGCGCCCCGAATTCCTGATTTTTTTTATGGACTTAAGAATCAGGTGTAATTGTGATAATGTTCTAGCCCCTCTTGATATCACCTGGAATTGTATTTGGGAGCAAAAGGCACATTTGTGAAAATCACTCTGGTTATTCAAGCAGTATAAACAGATGATCTGAGTTTCTTGATTATTTTTGGCAGTTTGGAAAATTAAAAGCCAAAAGAAGAAGTTCACATTCAGATGACAGATTCCGCTGATTGAACAATCACATCATTCCAGAGCTTTCCCCCACTTTATCCTTTGTATGTGCAGAAATGGTACAAGATTTAGAAACATCAAATTATGATAGGGAAAAAAAAGTATTAGTATTGGAGCATCAGTTAAGAGAAAAATCAACTTGGGTTGTTTGAGATTTCTGGTTTCTCCCACATCACCTGTATCCTGGAAGAGAGTTCCTATGAGCTATAACTCCTTCCAGGAGGCTGGATGTTTTTCCTCACACTTTTATGGGGAGGTATGTTAGAAGGAGACACAGACACTCACAGGCATTGACAGGAGCCTGACCTTTTCTGATTAACATCGTCTCTTAATACAGCTCTGTGTGTGTGTTCATCCATCTTTCTGTTTGTCCCAACTCCTCTCTCTTATGGTGAAGATTTCTGCTGCCCTTAGTGCTCTTGAGTCTCATCGGAAGTTGTCCCTCCTTCCCTCTCTAACATTTCTTTCTTTTTTTTTTTTTTTATATATGAAATTTATTGTCAAATTGGTTTCCATACAACACCCAGTGCTCATCCCAAAAGGTGCCCTCCTCAATACCCATCACCCACCCTCTCCTCCCTCCCACCCCCCATCAACCCTCAGTTTGCTCTCAGTTCTCAACAGTCTCTTATGCTTTGGCTCTCTCCCACTCTAACCTCTTTTTTTTTTTTTTTTTCCTTCCCCTCCCCCATGGGTTCCTGTTAAGTTTCTCAGGATCCACATAAGAGTGAAACCATATGGTATCTGTCTTTCTCTGTATGGCTTATTTCACTTAGCATCACACTCTCCAGTTCCATCCACGTTGCTACAAAAGGCCATATTTCATTTTTCTAACATTTCAAGAGTAGTGTCCATACCAGCCAATGCCTCTAGGGGCCCTGCATTTGTCTCCCTCCACCCCACCCCACACTGTGTACCACCTCCTCTGTGATTGTATAGTCATGGTGGATTATTTCTGCTTTCAGAGCTTTTACTGCTCCTCTGCTTCATCCCACACATGGGGCATAGCTCACACAGCCAGCATTTAGGTGGATTCTGTAGAGGTTTTAGAGGAAGCGGGTGTCAAGCCAGAAATGTCCAGATAGTTGTCAACCATTTACCACGATAGAAACCAAATGGTGAAGATTTCAGGATATTTCAAAGAAAATCAAGATAAATCCTTTATCCACAAGAATTGATTGGCTTTTTAGTTCAAATATCACATATCCAGTTTCCTTGTAGTAACTAATATATGACATCTTGTAAATGTTAGTCATTGATACAGTAATCCAGTTATAAAAATGAATAACAATATTATAAACAACATTAATTTTAATTAACAAGGTAATCTTTTAATGCACTGAGGTTATGCTCATTTTTTTTTTAATTTTTTTTTTCAACGTTTTTATTTATTTTTGGGACAGAGAGAGACAGAGCATGAACAGGGGAGGGGCAGAGAGAGAGGGAGACACAGAATCGGAAACAGGCTCCAGGCTCTGAGCCACCAGCCCAGAGCCCGACGCGGGGCTCGAACTCACAGACCACGAGATCGTGACCTGGCTGAAGTCGGACGCCCAACCGACTGCGCCACCCAGGCGCCCCGGTTATGCTCATTTTTAATTCCTATTTCCTGTGAAGGAAACATTATCAAGGCCTGGTTTCAAGCCAGAAATTAATCTGATCTGACTCCCTTGGAGTGTGGGGAATTTCCATGTGCATTTTATGTTAGGTTCTCTTTTTTCTTTGTTAGTAGTGAGGACCTTACATTGAATATTTTAAACTTGTGCAGAAAGAGAATTTTACTCACAAAAAAATAATTATTTTTTTTAATTGAAATATAGTTGACATACAGTGTTAAATTAGTTTTAGTTGTACAACATAGAGATTGGACAAGTCTATATGTTATCTCATGCTCACCACAAGTGTAGCTGCCATCTGCCACCATACAACGTCATTATAGTATTGTTGATTATATTCCCTATGCTGTTCCTTTTATCCTCGTGACTTATTCATTCCTTAACTGGAAGCTTATATCTCCCATTTCCTTGCATTCATTTTGCCAGTACTCCCACTACCCTCCCCTCTGGCAACCATGTTTTCTGTATTTATGGGTCTGTTTTTGCCTTTTTGTTTGTTCATTCATTTGTTTTATTTTTAGATTCTATTTTTTAGTCCCCAAGTGAAATCAGATGGCATTTGCTTTCTGTTGACTTACTTCACTTAACATAATACCCTCTGGGTCCATCCATGTTGTCACAGATGGCAAGATCTCATCCTTTCTTATGACTGAGCAGTATTCCTTTTTTATTATCTATACCACATTTTCCTTATCCATCCATCTATTGATGGACACTTGGGCTGCTTCCATATCTTTGCTATGTTTATTGCAATAAACATAGGGGTGCATATACTTAGAAAAACAATTCTTGACATTGTATTACTGAAAATAATTTTAAAGTTGAAAGCGATTCTTGATCACACTGTCCAGCCTCTTCATTGTGACGAGTGAGTCTGAGATTATACGGAGATGATGGTATGTCCTATTCTGTGAAGCACCTTAGTGTCATGGGGTTGCTCTTCCCACTTTATTGAAGGAAAAAGACACAGAAACATATAAGCACAGTTAGAATAGTATCAGATAAAATGGCAATACACTTGGCAATCAGATCTCACTACTATTTGATCGTTAGAAGAAAGTCATCTGATGAGTGTTATCAAAGACACAAAAGAAATCAGAGATTAGATCAAGCAAAATTGTCATTTCATTCTACTTCCATGTATTCAACAAGTATTTCTGAGCACTTAATATGTGCTAGGCAACATGCAGAAGCTTGGGATGTGATAATGACAGAAATACAATGTCTGTCTTCATATGAAGTGACATATATGCAAGATATTCATTCTAACAGTAATTCAAATAGCAAAATATTGGAAACAGCCTTTTTAATATGAGATTGATTAAGATAGATCCATATGATGGAATTTATGTAGTCCTAAAAAAAAGTATGAACAGGCTTCAAACATTCCGGTAGTGGCAGGTTAGCAAACTCAGGCCAGCCTTCCTGTATGGGCTACTAAAAAATGCTGAACAAAATCATAAAAACAAATATCTTGAAAATGGTAAAGAGCAAGCAAGTCATGAGCCTGGGTGGCTCAGTTGGTTAAGTGTCCAATTCTAGATTTTGGCCCAGGTCATGATTTTGCGGTTCATGAGTTTGAGCCCCACAACAGGCTCCACGCTGGCAGTGTGGATCCTGCTTGGGATTCTCTCTCTCTGTCCCTCCCAGATCTCTCTTTCTCTCTCTCTCTCAAAATAAATAAACTATAAAAAAAAAGAGAGCAAATAAGTCAGTGAGGAATTACCTAAAAATCTCTAATAAGTCATATACTGAAAGATGTTAAGCTCATCACACAAAACCCCATTAGTGTTGAGAAACTGTGAAATTGATGTGGCCTTTGGGACCTCAGAGGACCAGGGAGATATGTCAAAACCCAGGTTCACCCAAGGTAGAGAATCTGATAAACCAGCCCCCAATTTAAGGGAGGATCTGAATCAGCCATTGTGTCTTTTGCTGTCTGGACTTGTAGTCCCCTCAGTGGTCTAGATAACCTCACTTATCTGAAGGTGGTCCTGTCCAGGTGGTGCCCTCAGGCATCTGGCAATAGCAAATAAAAGACCTCTCTTGACAAAGTGCCATCATTCAAGATCTGTAATTATTCCTAAGTAATAGTCAAATACAACCAGCATATAATCAAGGATAGCCAACACACAAATAAGGCAGGATGAGCAAGAACCAGGGGAATAATAGGCAACAGAAGCAGGTGCACAGCATGTGAGGTACTGGAATTACTGCGAACAAAATATCAAACAACTGTGGTTACTGTGTGAGAAGAGATTTTTTTTAAAAAGCTTGAAAATACCTATAGGAAAGAGGGAACTCTAAAAAATGATATAACAAATCTGAACAAAGAACCAAATACAATTTTTAGAACCGAAAAGTGTGATCACAGGCCAAAATTAAAACCAATGTAGATTAGACACAGCTGAGGAGAGCATTCATTAACTGGAATCAAGAATATAGCATGAAGATAGAAACAGAAGAGAAGGTACAGGTAGAGTGAGAAGGTCCTACATTCCAACATCCCTTTATTTGGAATCCCAGGAGAGAGGAGTGAATGAGGTGGGGCATAATGTGAACATTTATATGTTTTTATAGCTAAAAAAACAAATTTCCAGAACAGGTTTGGGATTCCCCAAATCCACTGAATTCCAAGTAGCATAAATGCAAAGAAATCCACACCTAGCCATATTATTGTAAAACTGAAAGTAAACAGAGAAATCATCATAAAAGCAGCCAGAGATGGGTATACAGGATCTCTGTATTTTTTCCTATAACTGCGTGTGAATGTATAATTCTCTCAAAATGAAAAGTTTAATAATTTTTTTTGAAAAGAAGTCTGGGAAAAATAGATGTATCTTGAAAATGAGCCATAGTTAGATTGACAGCTGCCTTCTGAAAGTAACAGCGGAAGCTGGAAACCAGTGGAAAGGTATCTCCAGTGTGCTAGTAGAAATCAACTGGCAACCTGAGTTCCATACTCAGCAAGGTCCTTTAAGAGTAAAGGTGAAAGAACGCATCAGTGAAAAGACGAATTCTGCTCAGTTAGGAAAAGATACAGAGGCAATCATATCCCATAAACTATTTGCCAGAAGTGGCATCCCATGCTAGAGACAAAAATAAACAAATGACAATAATCCATTGTCAGGTCATAATAACACATGTATCCTCAGCAGACAGCTGCATTTAGTGCTCAGCAGCAGCAACAGAGTTTTGCTCATTCAAGTTCTGTGCCAGACTTGGGAAGCATGCTTGCACCTACAGCCCCAAACCTTTTTCAGCATTTACTGGTGACCTCTTGACCTACCTAATCTCATCTGTTGATTTCTTTCTGTGTGACTTTTATTAAATCATCCATAGAGAAAAGAGCACATATCAGAAGTATATACTCAATGAATATCCCATGCTGACTGCACCTGGGTAACCAGCATCCTGAATCCCTCCTCATGTCCCTTGCAGTCCCTCTTTGACTAAGGCTACCAGCTGTCCTGATGCTAGCACCATGGATTTGCTTTGTCTGTTTCTGAACTTTATATAATGGAAATACACAGTACATGCTCAGTACATGCTCTCTGGGTTTTTTTTACTCAGTATCATATCTCTGTCAGTGTTTTTTTTTTTTTTTCCATCGTCATATTTCATCGTCTGACTATATCATAATTTATTTACCCATTCTATTTATGGATATCTGGGTCATTTCCACTATTCTTTTAATAAATTTTTTTTCTACTTAAAAAAAGTTTACTGAAAGTGAAGTAAAAACATTTCAGACAATCAAACTAAAAAGAGCTTAGCACCAGCATACTTAAGAAAAAATGAAATTCTAAAGGATGTACCTCAAATAGATGGAAAATTATCCTAGACAGAAGGTCAGAAACACAAAAATAAACGAAAAACAAAGCAGTATATATTTGTATAATTCTTAATGAACATTGATTATATAAAGCAAAAATAATATTTTGTGGGAGGTTAAAATAGAGTGAATTAAAATATATAACAATTGATAACAAAGGCATGAAAGTCAGGAGTGTAGTAAATGAAATTAAATTGTTACATAGGTTTTGTATTGCCGTGGAATAGGGTAAAAGTATTGACTAACAGTAAACTTTGATAAGCTGGGGATGCACATTGTAATTTTTAGAATGAAGGAAAAGAGAATGGAAATAGAGTGCATAACCTGTAACTTAGTAAAGGAAAAATGAAGTCCTAAAAAAAAGGTCAGTAAATCCAAAGAGAGGAAACAAGGGAGAAAACACAAGCAGAAGCAGATTGAAAGCACACTGTAGAATAGTAGATTTAAATCCAACTATATCAGTAATTATGTTAAATGTAAATAGACTAAGTAGTTAAAAGATGAAGCTTTCACAAACATCAGAAATATAAGGATATAAAAAACTAACATTATTAAAATTTGATGGAAAGGTATAGCATGTAAATACTAATCAGAAGAAAGCTAGTCTTTATGGTAAATAACATTTCCGAACTAAAGAGGGTTAGCATTTTATAGTGATAAAAGATTCAGTTCACCAAGAAGATTCAAATGCATATTCTATGACCCCACAATCCCATTCTTTGGCATATACACTAGAGAAACTCCTAAGGACAAATGTGCAATAATGTTTAAAGCAGTTTTGTTTTTTTTTTGTAAATAATCAGACACTGGAAACAATGGGAATATCCATCAGCAGGAGAATAGTTAGTAAATACACAGTTAAACAATGGGATGCTATATAGCAGCAAAAAAGAATTATGCATGGCAGCTTGAACAAGTATTACAGAAGTAATATTGAGTTTTTAGAAGCAGGGGATAAAAGAATATATGCATATAATTCCATTTAGATCAAATTTGAAAGGAAGCAAAACTAAGCCATATTGCTCAGGGATGCATACAAATGTATAAAAGCAAAGATGTTATTACTATAAAAGTCAGAGTAGGGGGGCGGGTGATTTAATCAAAAGGAGCCATGGTGGAGGCCCCTCTGGGATGCTGGCAATATTCCATTTCTTGATGGGGTGGTGATAGCTTGAATATTTTCTTTATGTATATTAATGTTTTATGATCATCAGATACCCCTTTTTGGTTCAATTTTCTAAGTATGTTGTTTGATGTACTTATTAAAATTTGTAATTGGGTTTTGTTGGTGATCAGTTTTTGGCTTGCTTTCCTTATTCTTCTATTTAAAAAAATTCTTAGGGGTGCCTGAGTGGCTCAGTCAGTTAAGCATCTGACTCTTGATCTTGGCTAGGGTCTTGATCTCAGGGTTGTGAATTCAAGCCCCAAATTGGGTTCTGTGCTGGGTGTGGAGTCTACTTAAAAAAAATATTGAGGTGTGTGAGTAGCTCAGTTGGTTAAGTGTTCGAGTCTTGACTTGGCCTGAGGTCATGATCTCACAGTTCGTGATTGTTGAAGCCCCACATCAGCACAGAGCCCACTTGGGATTCTTTCTCTCTACCCCTTCTCCATTGGTGTGCACACACGGTCTCAAAATAAAATTTTTAAAAATCTTAAGTGAATATTAGAAAAAATGAAATGAATGCTCTCAGTGCTAAAGGCAGCAATATGTTCCATGTGAGAATATAAACAAAAGGCTAAGGTATTACATATATGATCTGTTGAAAGTAACACTGACCTCTCTTTTCTTACATTTACCAGGTTAACTTTGAGGAATTTAAGGAAGGTTTTGTGGCAGTGTTGTCATCAAATGCTGGTGCTGGCCCCTCGGATGAAGACAGTAGTTCCTTGGAATCTAGTAAGAGGACTTTCTCTACTCACCTTAAGTTTTTTTCATTATTTATCTGTTATCTTCAGGAGTGTGGTATTCAGACTGAAGGATATTGGTAGGTCTGAGAATTAAATCCTAACTCCACTGTCTGACTGCCAAGCTGTGTGGACTGGGATGAGACATTGGATTTTTTTCTTCTTTTGTTTCCTTATTTGTCCATAGTGTTGGAAAGGAAAAGCTCTATTGCTTTCCTTTACACATAGCACCTCTGAATACTTCTGGCACTTCTGGTCACCAAATGTGTGGTAGTTTGTCCCACACCAGGCAATTCCCCAGCACCATCTAAGTGTCCTACATTGCAACTCAACCCTGACATTACCTCCCTGGAGATAGCCTTAGTCCTACAAGATGGCCCCCACTTCAGATGCCAGTCACAAGTCCAGCTTGTTGCCTCTCTTTCTGATTGGTTGTAAGTCAGAGATTCCCACGGCCCCTTCCTTGGGTTCAATTCATTTGCAAGAGCAGCTCATAGAAATCAGAGCAACAGTTTACTTACTAAATCACTACTTTATTATAAAAGGATAGAACTTGGGAACAGCCAGATGGAAGAGGGAGGGGTACAGGGCAAGGTGTGGGGAAAGGATGGAGAGCTCATGCCCTCTCACCACACACCACTCTACCCCAATCTCTGTGTGTTCACTCCAAAAGCTCTCTGAACCCCATCCTGTTGAGTTTTTATGCAGGCTTCATTACATAGGCATGATTGATCAAACCACTGGCTATTTATGACTGAATGCAACCTCCAGCCCCTCCCACTTCCCTGGGGGTCAGGTGTGGGGCTGAAAGTTCTAACCCTCTAATCACATGGTTGGGTGTCCAGGCAACAAGCCCCCATTCTGAAGGGCATTCTAGGAGTCACCTCATTAACATAAACTCAGGTTTGGTTGCCAGGGATGGGGTGAAGACCAAATATATATTTATTATAAATCACAGTATCACAGGTGTCAAATAATACTGCGTGCTGTCCTTACAGCATGAAGTGTTGACAAGATAAAGTAGAACTTTATATCTTCAACTGTGGAGCAGTTGAAGTTTCAAGATTTGAAAGCTCAGTGCAGACATAAGGTACATCTAGACCACTGAGGTTGGCAGAACAGATAGGATGCCACCAGCCTTGGGAAGATCTGACCGGGGTGGGAGCCATTACATGACCAGCAGTCATTTGCAGATGTATCTTATGTCAGGCAGTAGTGTTGTGCTGTGCTGACATGCCTGTCATGGGAATGGGGCTGGAGGGACAAAGATAGAATTTCCAAATGGAAGGGACATCCTGAGGAGGAATGCCCCCTGGCTTTGGTAATGGTCAGGAGGTGGAGGGAGGGTTTGGAAAGAGGTCCACTCAGGGGCATGTAGGTTGTGGGTTGAGGGTCAGAAGATGATGATGGACATTCTCAGTGCCTGTTCCATTGGACTTCAGGCTGTGAATGACAGCCACTTGATGTGCTTCAGACCCATCTTGGCTACCTGTGGTGAGTATTGGGCAGTGAGTGAAATAGGGCATGGGGCAATGTGTTTGAGGTTGGAGCTATGGTATTGATGAGATCGAGGAGGGAGCTCTTTTCCTTCTGGTCCGCAGCAGGCTCCTCCCACAGTGGACCCTTGGTCTAGAGCAGATGCATGACCAGATAACAGGGATAATAGTGGGAGAGCTTGGGGCAGGGGAATGGGGAGTGGAAAGGATGATACCTCACATCAGTTGTCTTCAGTGTGCCAGGCTCACAGAATCCTGTGGCATTATCATACCCATTATTCAGATGAGGAACTGAGGGCTGATGTGTGAAGGGATTTGTCCAAGATCCCACATAGATCTTGGAACTGTGGCCAAGATTTGAGTTCCGGTTTTCCTCTTGTAAGCACTGGGCCCTTGTATACACAGTGTAGCCAGAACCGGCTCCTTCAGCTGGCTGCTAAAGGCTACACGGCACCTGGGTATAGTGTAGAGAACCCTGCATGACCCCTGGGGCATTCGCTGGTCACTTTGTCTGACACTGTTCTTCTGAAAGAGGTGAAGAATGCCACAGGCCTTTACTAACACAAGATTTGGGAATGTGGCATGTGATCGTGGATAGGAATGGAAGGGCGATGCCCAGGGTCCCTGACACTATATATGCTCCTCCCATGCTAGAGAATGTGTGGAGCTTCTAAACTTAAAACTAGATCTCTGGCATGCACTCAGTTTCTCCAAAGAGTTAAGAAAGTATTCTAGGACTTGTGGTTTTTCCCCCCTCTTCTTTCAATTCTTTTGTTTTCTTTGCCTTTTTCTTTTCTTTCAGATCTCAAAGCTGTCCTCAATTAAATGGTCATATGTGTGGCCTGAGACTCCTTCCCTTCATGGCAGATCAAGGGGACATCAGAGCCCCTCTGATTTTTCGGCACTTGGTTTCCCAACTGTGCCCCAGCTTCCCATTTCCTGCCTGATACGACTTTCCTTCTTATACCCCCTCAAGGTGGAAGGAGGATTCTTCTTCCACCCACATCAGCCAGCCCACAGCCTCTCTGTAACCAGAAACGATGCTCATATGCAAGAGCCCAAATTCACTGACTTTCACTTACCCTTTTGGCAGCTCTCTGGTGGGAGCCTTTTTCCATATTTGTAGTTTGCCCCTTCTGAACACTGCTGGGTTGCTCCCTCTTTTTTTCTCTCTGCTGGCTTGGAAATTTTGCCCTCCTCTTCAGTACATCACGTGCCTGTTGTCCCAGGCTGATTGGTATAATTTATGATTACCTTCAAGTGTCCCAGTGAGGTGAGACATGCTATAGTCACCCTGCATATTGTCAGCTGTCTTAAATGTCATGCTGTCACTTCATAGTCTGCACATCCCACATGGAACTTGGCATCTTCCTCCCTAAAACTCCTCCCTCATCCCCAGTGTCTTTCTGTGACTGGCATCACTGTACTTTCAGTTGGCCAGGCTGGACCCAGCCCCTTCCTCTGATGTGGTCTCAAGGTCAGGAGTCAGGGGTCAAGGTCAGGGGGGATGGAAGAAAGGAATGATGTGGTACTTGACTTAAAGAAGCATGACACCTTTCAGTGAAATTCTGTTTTCCTGGCCTGGAATTACTTCATTGGATCCTATGCTTTTCTTTCCAACTGGCCCATGCTGGCTGCTTCCCTCTGAACCTATGTCGTGTCCTGGCTGCTGCCCATGATACCCTCTCCAAGTCTGTTTCTTACTCACCCAAATTCCTCACAGAGTCAGTATCATTTCTTCTCTGCCTGAGAGGTCACATTGTGTACAAATGTGAACAGGTAAGGAGGGAAGAAGGAAATGCAAAGGGTTATTAGGGTTTAAGAGATTCTCATGAATCCCAGACTAAAACTCATGCCTGCCTTTGCCCCAGACTTCAGACCAGCAGAGTTTGAGCCTACCTTGGCTGTGTGTGAGGTCCATGCCCACAGCTCCCTGACAGTCCTGTCCAGATGGGGTCCTGAAGTAAGCAGGGTAGGAAGTGACCTTCTGGTCTCTAGAACAGTATGTTGCTGGAATATTGGAGGGGTTTTTTTTCTTTGTATAAAAAGCTATTAGTATTAGTCTCTTATTATGTAAACAAAAAGTCTTTTTGTATTAGTAGTAGTCTTTTACTACATAAAAGCAGTATGCTCAGAAAACTTTAAATAGCACGTAGAGTTTAGAGTAGAAAGTCCCCATCTCCCAGCCTGGGTTTCTCAGTTCCCTGCCTGAGGAATAGATTGACCACTGTTAACTGCTGTCTGTGTTCTTCCAGACATTTTCTGTGTGCTTCTGTGAGAGCTACACTCTGTATCTTGAAATGTGTTCTGCAGTGTGCACAGACCATCTGCTCCCTGTCCCCCCCCCCTCCCCCCACCAAACCTCATATTTTCTTTCCAGCTGCCTCACGTGCTGTCCCGCCAAAGTATGTGAGTGGCTCTAAATGGTATGGTCGCTGGAGCTGCCCTGAGCCTGAGCCATGTGGCTCTGCAACAGGAGCCAAATGTTTACCAGAACAGCAGGCGAGGGCCACTGGGAGAGGCCAGCTCCGCCGCTCTGCATCTCTGGAAAGTGTGGAGGTGGGTCCGAGTTCCTCCTTTCCCCACCCTAGGCCACCATCTCATTTAGTCATTGTGACATGACTATAAGAGGATGTGAGGGGCAGGTGGGCATTTCTGGGCATCTCAAGTTGCCAGAAACAAGGGTGCATTTTGGGGAATGACATTTCATTCTAAAGTCTGGGGTGCCTGGGTGACCTAATTGGTTAAGTGACTGACTCTTGAATTTGGCTCAGGTCATGATCTCGTGGTTCATGAGATCTAGCCCCATGTTGGGCTGCATGCTAGGTGTGGAGTTTGCTTGAGGTTCTCTCCTTGTCTCTCTCTCTCTCTCTGCCCCTCCCCCCCTCATTCTCTCTGTCTCTCTCTCTCAAAATAAATAAATAAACTTAAAAAAAAAAAAAAAAGAATTGTTAAAGTGTCTCTGGGTCTGTCTGCAGGGAATTCTGGCCAGAGGGTACTTCTTCAGACATTAGGGCAGTGGAGAATTTGTGCTGAAATCACTTGTTTCTTTCCCTCTCCTGCTTATCACCACCAACTTTCCCCCCCACCACTGTGAGAAGGCTGTTTTTTAATGGATTCATAAGAGTGAGAAAAGAAAGAAAGATGCCTTTCTGGTGCCCTTGTAAGGTTAGGAACTTGGAAGTACCAATAGGCCCATGGTCCCACCTGCCTTGAACACTTGGAATATACCAAGAATATACCACTTACAATTTGGCAAACATGTGCTGAGACCTCCCAGGGCTCTGAGGGTTGATTCTATCCCCCCATGTCCCTAAATTGTTCACTGCTGCCGAGATACTGCAGAAGATGGTCTGCTGGAGCCTTACAGCCTTCATGTCAGGAAATATCCATGGGCAGATCCATAACTTTCAAGTTAACTGTGGAGTCCTTAGACTTATTTTCAAGAATTCCAGAAGGTTCCTGGTTCCTACTCTGTGATGTCCATTTTGTCAGGTGGGGCTTTATGGGGACTTATCTTCAATAAGACCCTCACATTAATTTGATTACATGTTCAGCATTTGTTGAGGCAAGCATATCTATTTAAATCCTAGAGTTTCTTTGCTCAGGGACATGCTATGCCTGGGTAATACCAACAAATCCCAGGCATTCACTTGTTTATCGTTTTTAACTTTGGTCTGCAGGGATAGAGGTCTAAGGAGTCTGCTCTATCTCCATTATGCTGTTCTGCTTTTTAAAACCATCTTTGATCCCTGGAACTAGAACATGGAGGAATGCTGTTTTTAGGGTTGTCAGTTGGGCTGAATGCATTAGAAAAATGGGACATACCACCTGCTCCCAGATTCCACTCTTACTTCAGTGCTGGCTCTGAGGAGTGCTGAGTCTTGGCCAACTTGGCATTCCTTCCAGAATCAGATGTGGGATGCATAGCACCTGTCAGAAGCAGACTTTGACTTTGTAGTCAGCCAACTTGGCCACAAAAACATGAGGTTTTTACCTGAGTCAAGTGTTTCTTTAATTTTTTTTTTTTTTTTTAAGACAGACAAAGCATGAGCGGGGGTGGGGCAGAGAGAGAGGGAGACAGAATCTGAAGCAGGCTCCAGGCTCTGAGCTGTCAGCACAGAACCCGATGCGGGGCTTAAACTCACGAACTGTGAGATCATGACCTGAGCCAAAGTTGGACACTTAACCAACTGAGCCACCCAGGTGCCCCACAGTCAAGTGTTTCTTGATGCCCCCCCCCCCCCCTTCAGGATACAGCTTGCAAAGGGCACTGAGAAGTCAGTGCTTGCTATGTATCATGCTGTCCCTGGAGCTCCTGGAGGGACAGGGAGAACTACTCTCCCTCCAACTGTTTGCTGAACTGATCTGGATGATAAGGGACAGGGTACAGAGAAGTGAAGACAATCAAGCTTGAGCAAGATAATGTCTTGCAGTGGAAGGTTGACCATACTCCCTGGCCATTCCTCTCCAGTGCTGGTGTCCGAAGCCAGCACCACAAGGAGGTGTTGGTTTGGGGAGCATTTTTCATTCCTGTTTGGGTACAAGTGCTTGATTATGTTTTTAGTGTTAACTACTGATGACTTGGTTTATGTTGAGGAGCCTCATGTGTCTCTGTGTCTACATTGTAGTGCTTGGTCTCTGAGAAGGAGCTGTTCTGTGCCTGTGCCTCACGGCTTGGTGCAAAGGCCATCTGTAGGTGGGGGGTTTTGCCCGAGGAGCTGCATCTCACCAGTTGTTTGTCCTCTTCCTCAGTCCCTACCTAGCTCCAAAATATATCCTTCTTTTTGTTTTTCTACAGAGTCTCAAGTCAGATGAAGAAGCTGAAAGTGCTAAAGAACCTCAGAATGAGTTGTTTGAAGCACAAGGTAAAGCCACAGACTCATGGTTGGTTCTCCCTATCTTTGATCAGTGCTTTGAAGTTCAAGGAGCTGGCTTGTTGATCGGTGAGCCAGCCATGTGTAATTTCCTGGGAAGCATGCAGAGTGGGTGCTGTATCTGGTGGGCCCCTTCTCCAGACGTGGTCCCAGCCAGGAGGTAGTCTCTTGGTGCTCAGCATCCCCTGAGGTCAGATCCTTGGACAGAGGCCCCTGGCCAAGGGAGCAGTATGGTTGGGCCACATCTCGCAATCTGTGAGGACCAGCATGACCCCAGGTGGCAGGCATGGCCTGAGGTCCCAGGCCTCTTGCACTCCCTTCTTAATGTGCCAGACCTGGGTACATCGTCTTCCTGGCTGTATGCAAGCAGTCTCGGCAACCTCCAGTGGCTCTGTGTCTGTGCTCCAGATAAAATAGCAGATGTGGTCCTGGCCCTCAGGAGCCTTGCAGGGGCAACTGGAAGGCAAAAGCAGGGGTACATAAGATAGCAGTGTGCCCACATGTGCGTCTGGGGATGCTTTAAACATACCTCCCACACAGAGGAGAAAGTGCAGAAACTTTACTTGGAGAGGGAGACCACAGTTGACCTTTTGAATTTCTGCTGCAGTAAAAAATCAGCAGTTGGAACTGAGCATGATCTAGATTGTGATCCTCAAGGACGAGAGCCATTGTTCAGTGTTTAACTTAGTGGATGTCAGGGGAACTGACCTGAACGCCCACCTCAGCTGTTGGACAAAGCACATAGATAAGGAAGAGCAGCCTAGTGATCACATCTTCACCGTCTTGGTTTCAATTCTAAATCTAGGGTAGGAAAGGAAGGTTGTGCACAGTGAAATTTTGGGTCTCTCTGCCTGCAGAGCAGGTTGGGTTCTTCCTAGCCTCGAACAGAAACCTTTTCACTGGGTTAGAATTGACAGTGTGCATGAAACTCACATCAGACCTCAGAGGATTTATTTATCTCCTTTGCCATTCCTGAGAAATAAACCCTAGTATCAGAGGTGCTTTTATGCTTTTACTTAGAAATTTCAGACACTTTATGCTGGAAGAGATCTCAAAAAAGGCATTTTCCAGGGTGGCTCAGTCGGTTAAACATCTGACTTTGGCTCAGGTCATGATCTCTCAGTTTGTGAGTTCAAGCCCTGCGTAGGGCTCTGTGCTGACAGCTCAGATCCTGGAGCCTGCTTCAAGATTCTATGTCTCCCTGTCTCTTTTCCCCTCCCCTCCCTCAAAAATAAACATTAAAAAAAAATTTTTAAGGCATTTTCCTCAACCCAACACAGTGTTGTTCATGAGCACACAGGCCTGGCTTTCCTCAGGAGAAGTGACTTTCTTGTTCTTAGTTGGGCTATCAAAGTAATTAATGTCAAAGTAGCCCATTACCCAAGCTGCTGATGGGGAACTTCAGTCATGTGGAGTCTGAGCTGCCTCTCTGTGTCAGGCTGGGTGGCGTGGACTGACTGTAGAGGGAATGTCTGGCTTGAAGCATGGCTCATCCATGATGGCTTCTCACGGGCACCCCCAACGTCTGTCCATTCCACAAGTTGTTTCTCTGGCAAAGCTCAGAAACATTAGTTTCTGAAATTTATTTTTTAAAAACTAGGGGTTTTTTTTGTTTTATTTTGTTTTGTTTTGTTTTTTGTAAATACAAATAATGCAGCCCTCTTTTATATGCTTCCAGTGGTCTGACTTTAGGAGGTTCCTTTGAGAAAAAGCTTTCCCCACATGGACCAGAGGTTCCTCCCACCCCACCTACATTTTATTATGAAAATTTGGAAACACAGAATGAAGATGAAAGAATCGTATTGTGAACAGCCATGTACTCATCACCTAGATTCCACCTTTGATGCTTCACTACTCAAGTGTGTCCACCTGCCCATCCATCTGATTTCAGAGTCAGTTGCCAGCATTGGTATATTTCCCCTAAGTGCTTCTACCTGGACATCAGGTTTACCTGTCACTCTTCCTGCTTCAGGCCAGCTTCCAGCTTGGGGTTCTGAGGTCTTCAGATGCCTCCAGAAGCCCTGCAGCCTCTCCCTGGACACCCCTGAGAGCCGGGTTCGTGGCATCTGGGAAAAGCTAGGTGTTGGCAGTAACGGCCACCTCAGCGAGCAGGAGCTGGCTGTGGTCTGCCAAAGCATCGGGCTCCAGGCACTGGAGAAGGAGGTGAGAGGGTCTGAGGCAGACCACACTCAAGGACAGGTTCTTTGTGGTGGTCAGGTTGCTGTTGCATCTGGAGAGTCCCTTCACCCTCCAGACACTGATGTGGTTGTACTACTTTGTGGTCTAAAGTCCTCTGGTAACTCCCAGTGCTTCTGCTGAGGTCTGCGCCCACACATGTCATGTATGGCCTGCCTCACCAGCTTCTGAGCACCTTCACTTATGACCCTTTCTCTGCCTGGAGTGCCCTTTCCCCTTCCTGCATTGCCCAACCCAGATGTTATGCCCTCTGAGGCAGGCTGCACTCCCTTGCAGGGGCCAAGGGGAGGGGGGTGGGCAGTGGTGATGTGATGGGGAAGTGCCTCCTTACTAAAGTTCCCCTTAGTCCTGCTGTCCTTGCTGTTCTCTGAATTGCTGGGGGCCCAGGACCCACTCCATATGTATGTCTTCTTCCTGCCATCCAGCTAGTTACTCTGAATGGGTATTTATGGAATTAGGAAGTGCAGGTGGCACCCCTTCACAGCAGGGTGGAAACTGACCAGGTATGTAGATGTCACAAGACAGAGTCGGGGGACATCAGGTGTGTCCCAGGTGAGTTTGGTAAGGACAAGCAGACTGCCCAGGGAAGGCCTGGATGGTGGTGACTGGCATGCAGCTGCTTGTGGGTGGGGCCTCAGCACAGGTGTGGCGGCTTTTGTCTAGGAACTGGAGGACCTGTTTAACAAACTGGATCAAGATGGAGACGGCAGAGTGAGTCTTGAGGAATTCCAGCTTGGCCTATTCAATCACGGGCCCACTTCACTTCCAGAGTCTTCCACTCCCATCAAACCGAGCATGTCCTGGTCTCATCACCAGGTAAAATGGGATGATTAAGCTTTGAACCACAGCAGCAACTGCTGTCACTCTGGCCTTCATCATCTTCACAGACCTGGGAGTTGGTGGGAGTATGTACACATACATGTGTGAGTGGGAGGCCATGTGATTTAGATTCTAGAATCACACAGGTCTTCTGCTGATCTGGCATTGCCCCTCCCTAACTGTGTATCCCTGAATGAGTTACTTGCCTTCTCTGAGCTTCAGGCTCTTCATCTGTAAAATGGTGCCTACCTCATAGGGGTTTTATGAGGATTACATGGCAGTTCCTCGATTTTCTCCTCAAGAAGCCTATCCCAGTGTACCTTCCATTAGAAGAGCTTCTTCTCTCCTCCCCATTGTGGTGCAGTGAGAGCATTCTGTACCTTCCCTAGGAGTAGCTCTCCAGGTACTCCTTTCCTTGTACTCTCCCTTTGTTGTGTTCCTGAATTTTATCTCTTATCCAGGTCTCTGCAGTTGGAGAAGAGCAGATTTTAGGCGGTTATTTAAATTGTGATCTCATTTGCTGACCGTTGGCTTAGCATTTGGTTTTTCTCCATCCCAGGAGAGGAGAACCTCCCTCTTCCACCACAGGGCAAGGTTCTCTGGGGGAGTCTTGCCAATGCTTCTCTGCTGATGTGGCTGATCCTGTAGTTTGTAGGTGGTGGTACAAGATGAGTAATGTTGTTTTCTGCTGCACTAGGTGTAATCTGAGAGTCCCATTTCTGAATCTAAACCTGATGAGAATGGAGAGAGAAGAAACTAGGAGTGTTAAAGGAAAGTGTCAGGCCATGTAAGGTTAGAGGCCATGAAGTCCCACCAAGTCATGCTTGGAGCCAGTGGAGGGAGGGTGCCTCCTCTGTAGTGGAGCTGCCCTTGTTGCTGCGTCCCAATGAGGAAGCACAGCTAGACAGGACTCTGAGCCATGGGGAGCAGGAATGAAACCAGGCAGGACCCACCTCTAGTCAGATGCAGGTGCCCAAGGAACACCTGACTACCCAGGAAGTGCCCTGAGCTAACACAGCTGCAGGTGGAGGGTGTTGCATCCTGTGTGTGTGGACTCTTGCGTGGCATGGTGGTGCTGGGCCCTCAAGTATGTGGCCCAGCACCCCCCCCCTCCTGCTACACCATGACGTGCCTGTCCCCAAGTTCACAGTCCTCACAAAGGAATCAGGTGGGAGGGAGACAAGGGTGGTCCAGGTGCATTTGGCTATCTGAGCTTCTCCACTGTGGCCATGGCATGTTTCTGACCATTCGTGAGCTGTCTGTCCTCTCCCCTTTTGTAAATGGAGTCACATGCCTACTTTGTAGGGCTGTACCTAGCACAGCTTTAGTAAGCACCCAGTTCCTAAGTGTTTATGAAGAGATAGGGATATGGCTGAGAACAGATGAGAGCATATGGGCCTGTGAGTACCTGCTGAGGTAGTGAGTGCCAGGAGGGAGGTGCTGGGCTGGGAGGGGGTGTCAAAGCAGAGCCCTGGAAAGTGCCCAGCCATGGAGCATTGGGGGGGAAGTGTTTCAGGCAATGAGAAAAGCCTGGAATGTTTGGGAATATCAGAGACTCCTTTGAGGGGAGTTGAGAGGAGGCCAACAAGGAAAGTGTTCCCTGGGGGCGGCGGTGGGGGGGGGGGGTGGTGGCGGAAGCCCCAGTGCCCAGAAGGAAGGGACTGTTTTTCCTCATTCTTATAGCCCCAGATAGCAAATGCTGGTTCTGAAGAGAATGCCAGCCTGGGGCAGAAAGCAGTCTTGCTTGATGGATTCTCATAGCCCTTAAGCCTAACAGGTCAGCTTTCTGGCCAAGAGATTTTTTTTCCCCTTCCTCTTAAAATTCTCCAATTCTGTCAGCTATGAGATGTGTTTCTGAGGCCTGCGCAGATGGGTGACTTTGTTTGGGCCTCTTCTTTTAAGCCTGTCTTGGGTTTCTTTCCACAGGCTGGATTTCTGAGCATTGGCATGTGCCTTCTCTAGCTTTTTGAGGCCGGGTGCACACCAGTACTGATTTGGGAGAGAGAGGTTAAAACCCCTTCATGCCTCCCACTAAGAAGCTCTTGCTGACATGTGAGGCCACACGGGTGTTGGAATGTGTTCCTTGGACCAAGCCTCGGGTAGACAGTAGGAAAGCAGGCACCAGGGTCTTAGAGAAGGCAATAGGCTGGGTGTCCGGATCTCTGGGTTCAAATCCCCACTTTGCCACCTGCAGAGCCGTGCAGTCTTGGGCACACTGTGAGATGGTGCCGTGCCTTTGTTTACTAGTCTGGGAGACAGAGCTAATGGTCACTGTGTGAGCTGTTCTTGACAGACCTCAATGAGACAGTGAAAGGTTGAGCACAGGCTACTGAAGTTGGAAAATACTAAAAATAAACAAGAGGCACTTCCACTTTCTCTACACACAGGTCCTGGAGGAGGGCAGCTGCCAGACTGCCACAACATCATCCCTGGTGTCCGTGTGCTCAGGCCTGCGCCTCTTGTGCAGTATTGATGATGGCACCGGCTTTGCCTTTCCTGAGCAGCTCATCACCCTGTGGGCCCAGGAGGGGATTCGGAACAGCAGAGAAATCTTGCAGGTCTGGAACTGGTCACTCACAGCCGCCCTGGAGGGAGCATGCAGGCAGCATGGGGCCAGCAGGGGACCTCAGGGCCCTTTGCTCTCAGAGGAGACTGGACAGAGAATCCCACAGACACACAGGGCCTGCACTCTCTGGGGGAACCCCATGTAGGGAAGGCCTGTTAGAATCATTTTCCTCTTTATTTTTTTTTTGCCATTAAAATATAAGAAATTTTAACTTTAAGAGATAATAAATAAGCAGAGAAAACAAATCTGAAACAAATCCACTTGAAGGTAGGTTTCAGTATCTTAGACATTTCCCTCAGTACATTGTTAGCCTTGTAGATGTTTTGCTTACCTGGACAATGGCGGTCCATCCCAGACGAGGGGAGAAAATTTCCTACCTTGTGGTAGAGACGTCTTACTGGATGTCACTGTCCCAGTAGTCTGAGTGTTTCCATTTTGTGGAAGATGAGCTCCATAGTGAACCCAAATTCTGCTCAGAGCTGCTGCCTGGCTGGCCAACCTCTTCTCCCCTCATGGCCCTTGCTTGCCCGGGCCCCCTCCTCCACCGTGTTGGGTGTGGAGGTACACTGCCCTGCTGCCTCCTCCCGAGTTCCTGCATGCTCTTCGGGGGGTTGGCCCACAAGACTGTCTTCAGATGGGGTCAGGCCTCTTCTGGGGGCCAGTCCAACCTCCCCCAGGGACACAGGGCCAGACCCCTGGGGTTTGAAGGGAGCTTGCTCTGGGGCAATCAAGCCAGTTGTGCACAGGGGCTGGACAACGAATGGTAAGAGAAGAATACTGGGGAAAAGTGTGTGTGTAAGCTGGACTGCTGATCTTCATTTCCAAATTTCACTTTGTGTTGTAAAAAAAAAAAAAAAAAATGTCAACTGGGGGAGCCTCAGTTGGTTAAGCGTCCGACTTTGGCTCAGGTCATGATCTCATAGTTCGTGAGTTTGAGCCCCACATCGGGCTCTGTGCTGACAGCTCAGAGCCTGGAGCCTGCTTCAGATTCTGTGTCTCCCTCTCTTTCTGACCCCCGCCTGCTCGCACTCTGTCTCTCTCAAAAATAAACATTAAAAAAAATTTTGTTTAAGTGTCAACTGTACACAAAATCATAAAGTAATAAAGCCTGCCCCCTTTTGCTCCCATTCTGTAGGAGTAGCAACACCTCACGGCTCAGTGGGAGTTTTTGCAGAGCTTTTCCCCAGCACAGAAAAGAAATATATATTTGGATATTCCAGCTTTAAAATTTTTTTTTGCAAAATTGGTATACTGTATATCTTGTTAATTTGTTACCTTTTTCCTATCATTGGACATGTAGATTTTTTTTCTGTTCTAAATCTTGTTTAGATTATATATCCTCCTGTTCCTATGCTGGTATTTCTTGGTAGGCTAGATTTCTGAAGTTACACATTTTAACTCTTGGTAGGCTTTTTTATATTGCCTCTGAAAATGTCCTTATTAGCACAAACTAACAGTTCACAGAGGAGCCCAATGACAACGTTTAAGATAGTCCTCCTGACACTTTGGGCGAGGCCCTTTTGGGCCTAGCCATTGCTGAGTGTGGCCACCCAGCAGCCTGGGCAGAGCCTGGACAGTAAGGCCAGAACTGGGCACCTGGCCCTTGGGAGAGCTGGAGGCTGAGCCCTAGTTACTAGATTGGCTCCCTGGGAGGGCAAAGAGCAAAGAGATTCACGGTTTTGAGATTCTCCCTGAAACTGTATTCCTGATTCCCTGTCATTTGGAGGTGGGCTGGCTGCCTTTAGAGCATGGTGAGTCTCAAATTTGCCTCTGACACTTCATAACTTACTCTTTTTATTGCTTTCCTGCTGTCAGAGAATATTTCCATTTCCTTAGCAATTTGTAATTTACTAGTTGCATTGAGGATTTGCTTCCATTTTGTTGAAGGGCAGAGGTGTTTACTGAACTCTCAGCACTTGGCACCAAACAAGGACCTGTGAAGTTTGTGACATTGTTTACTCTTCACTCAGTGTAGTTGTTTCTGTCTCACGTGACAGATGAGGTCACTGCCTGAGCCCACATAGCCAGGGCGGGAGCAGCAGCGAGTGGGGCAGGCCTTCTGGGTATCCTGGTATGTCAGGTGGGGCCCTTCCTGCCTGCGACGCTCTCAGAAACTGCTAACCTGTGATGCTGGTGGTGAAGACCACAGGCTGCTGGTCCTACCAAGACAACTAAGCACACCATGCCTGAAAAAGAAAGGCCTTTCTCTTGAGAAGGAAGCATCAGCTGGGTGAGCCCTTAGTGTGGATGTGCTGGCATCACATACCCAGCTTCTCAAAACCCCTGGCCATTTCAGGGAGCTTCTTATCCAAGCCCTTGAGAGTGCTCTAGGAGGAGGCCTGGGAATGGTTATTTGTCCTTCCTCAACAAATTACCACTAAATTACACCTTGAAACACAATGACTCTTCTTGTCTTGAGCAGTTTTTGTGGGTCCGGAATTTGGGAGCTATGTAGTGGGTGGCTCTAGCTCAGGGTCTCCCCTGAGGTTGATCAGATGTCAGCCAGTACTCAGTCTTGTGAATGACTGACTGGGGCTGGACTGCCGCTCCCAAGTTGGCAGATTGATACTTGCTGTAGCAGGAGGCCTCCATTCCTTGCACATGGCCCCTTCCTAGGGCTGCTTGAGCTTCCTCACAACTAGGTAGTGACTTCCTGGGAGTGCCATCTAAGAGAGAGTGAGGAGGAGGCTATGTGTCTTCCAAGCCCCAACCTTGGAAGTCATACACTGTCACTTCCTCAGTGTCCTGTGTGTGACACAGGTTGACCCTGTTGTGTGTGACAGGGGAATACCTGGGTATGGGTGCCAGGAGGTGAGAGACACGGGGCTGTCTTGGAGGCTGGCTCACACCCTTGCCATGTGGTTTTTGATGACTCCTTTCTTCTTGGTCAGGAAGCTGCTGCTGTGACCTATCATGTCTGTGCCCTCTGTCTGGTGACGTGATGGCTGGGACGTCTTTACTTGTGGAATAACAGCTTGAGCTTCCCAGTTATTCCATATGCTTTACCCTGATGTCACTTCTCTTCAGAAGCACTCTGGGAAGAGGGGAGCAGTGGAAAGCCTGGTCTCCATTTTATAGGTTAAAAAAGGGAGCATGCCTCATTTCCTTGTGTGACTGAGAATGCTGTGGCCCCTTCTCTCCAGTCCCTGACATGGTGCCTGCCTCTAGATGTGGGTGTAACTGTAATTTTTTGACATCATAGAAGGAGCAGGGGTCAAGAATACTCAACACTAAAAAAGCAAATGTAGCAAGTGTTAGTTGTTGTGTTGAGCAGAGGGGTATATGGGTATGGTTTATTATTATTATTATTATTGTGGTACAATACATTTAATGTAAACGGTTTTATTCTCTTATTTTCAAAATCTTGAGGGGAAGAATGCTCCACTCCACTAGGCCATGGCTCATCTCTCTGTTAGATCGCTTTCCTACCAACAAAACTACCCACCCATACATATACTTCATGGAGATTCTATTAGTTTGAAATGATAAAAACTCAATTCAAAATGTCTTAAGGAGGGAGGATATTATGGGCTCACGTGAGCAGGCACTTGGGAGAAGGTGCCCAGAGGTGTCGTCAGGGCTCTTTTTCATCTATCCTCTGCTTGCTTCTTGGTGGTGTTGGGCTCAGGTCAGTTCTCTTCACACAGCTCCCAAGGCTAGCAGGGTTCATTCAGCAACTTATTTCACAGAAAATGGCCTCTCTGCCAGCCTCTTATCAGTCCCCATGATGTCCTCTGCTTCTGTGTCAGTTACCTTTTCAGGAAGAAGGTCTTTGTCCAGCCTGGGTCATATACTCCCTGATGAGGGGTGAGGGGAGAACTTGGCTTTGACAGGGGCTATGGGGGAGGGGAGACCAGAGTAACATGGGTGGGGGCAGGGCAGAGACTTTACAGACAGAAGAGTTGGCAGGTGCTGCCACCAGGACAGTGTGGATCTGGGCCTGGCCTATTCTTAGGAAAGCCAGGAAGTATTTGGAGAAGTCACACATCCTTTCCCGCCCAATGGGCTTTGCTATTTCCAGAGTCTTGGCTTCAGTGTGGACGAGAAGGTGAATCTTTTGGAGCTGACCTGGGCCCTTGAGAATGAGCTCATGATGGTCGGTGGTGCCACTCAACAGGCAGCCTTGGCCTGCTACCGCCAGGAGCTGAGCTTCCGCCAGTAAGAGCCCAGTGTGGTTGGGGAGGTTGGGGAGGTTGGGGAGGTTGTGGAGGTATAGCTGTCTGCGTTGCCTGGAGGGAAATGGGCAGTCTGCTCTTGTCTACCCCAAGCCAGTCCCAGGGGACAAAGGACTTGACACCACCTTTCCCACTGGCTGTCCTTTAGTGGGCACTCTTGGTGGGACAGGGAAAGAGCTGAGTTGTGAGTGCAGAAGAGGGCTACCTGTGCCTTGAGTGGCATCCTCCTGTGTGGTCTCAGAGGGGCCTGAGGACCCAGTGGCCTGTGTGGTAGCTGCTGCTAGGGCTTTAATGGCCACAGAATTTCTGAGTCACCAGTCTGCCTTCACACTTGGTAAGAAGCTTAGAAACTGATGTTGAGGTCCTCCCTTAGTTCCTTTTAGCAATATTCCAAAGGGGGAATTTGAACCTGACACTCATCCTGCTGACACTGGAGCTCTCGGGTGCAGAGGCAGAAATCTTACAGTTGGCAGGGATGTGTTCCAAGAACAGGCAGAGGGTCCTGGGCTGGGGCAGCTGGCAGGACAGTAGAACGAAGTGTTCCTCAACATGGTCACCCGGTGCACAATGACAGGGGGCCTGAGAATGCATTCCATTTTAGTTGGGTTCAGGTTTCAATTAGCTGAGTATTCAGGCCATCCATATGCTCAGCAAATTGGCATAAAGATTGTTTTTGTGTTTATTGATGTTCCAAAGCTGCAGGGAAGAAATCATGATTTCCATCCTCAGGATTTTGCATTCAATTAGATGCTGACAGATGAGCTTCCTGACCTCAGGCACTCTCAGAATAGGACCAGAGACTATGCCTTGGGAGGGTGGAGGGAGAAAAGCTCTGTGTTCCTTCAGGGGGATAAACAGTCACCAGAATAGCAAGTGCCAAGGGTTAGTGCATAACCTCATGTGGGGACTGGGGTACATGGAAAGAGTGAGAGCTACACACACAAATCACATTCTGCTCTAAGTGACTCATCCAGATACCTGGCTGCAGGTGACAGAGTGTGACCAGGCAGGGTGATGGGTGCCAGCCTTCTCTTCATCATGTGTCCAGTCCTGGATTAGGTGTTGGGGATCCCTGGGAGAGGGGACAAGAGGGAGACATGGATAAATTATTACCTGTTCTGGGCTATCTGGAGGTGTCGCACAACATAAGGCTCTACGTTCAGACTTCCTTGGTTCAGAAACCTTCCAGAAACCTTCCTTGACAAGTCATTTAGCCTCTCTCTCAGTATGTGCATCTGCAAAACAGGCATAGTAATTCTGGAAACCACTTTTAGGAGATGGTTAGTAGTAGCAGTGAGGTCAGAGCACAGCACTGCCCATGCGCAGCACCCAGTTAAGGCAGCCCTTTCCATCATTCATGGAGACACAGGGCTTGTTGGGCCCAGAGCAGGTATCCCCCCTCTGACACTGTCTCCTTCGTGTGGCAGGGGACAAGTGGAGCAGATGGCAAGGGAGCGAGACAAGGCGAGGCAGGACCTGGAGAAAGCTGAGAAGAGGAACCTGGAGTTTGTGCAAGAGATGGATGACTGTCACTCTGCCCTAGAGCATCTCACGGAGAAGAAGATCCAGTAGGTCTCGCAGTCATACCCAAGTGCAGAGACATGGCTTCTCAGCAGCTGGGCCATGATTCCCCAGCTCTGGCCAAGGGTGGGTGGTGGATGTGGGTCTGCCACTAGCTGAGGCCATGGTCATGAACATGGTGGAGCTGAGGCCCTCCTCACCTGAGCCAGGAGAAATCTAGAAGGTGCACCTCTGGGGATGTCCTTCCTTGAAATAAGAGGTGTGCATTTAAAATAGTAGCCTTGCTCTTTATGATGTGAGGTCATGGTGCAGGGGCATCCAGCTATGTGTGCCTATGGGCTGCAGGGAAAATTCCTATCCTCCGCTTTACTTATGGGGTCTGTCCCACCCAAACTGTGTCTTCTGTGTGTACCTGTGGCTAGTGACATGGATGAATGTTTTGAGAGAGGGCTGGTGAATGGTTTTAGAACCTGTTGAAAGGAGGTTAATATGGTAGAAGCCCAGAGCCCAAAACGTGACTTCAGGTATTGTAAGTTATGATGAGTTAAACAGATCCCTGGTGAGCGGTTTGCTCCATCAGTCACACTGGTGGCTGGACAGATCAGAGGAAAGGATTTCTGATCTTTTTTTTATGGACACAAAGCCCACTCTCTGGTTTATTAGCCAAAATGTGAAGAAATCCAGCCCCTGAGGATCTCCCAGGCTGGAGCAGGCAAAGAGGAGATTTTCACCCCACTCTGGTGTACAGTCTATGCTAGGCATTCCTGGCAGAGCTTAGCTGGTGGTTCACTTTCTCAAAGCTTTTGTCACTTGAAGGTGTCTCCTCAAGTATAGCAAAGGGTGTGTGCTGCGGAAAAACCAGTGTGGTACACTCAGCTTTTGGCAGTGCTAGTGGTGGGGGCACAGGAGGGCTGCCAGCCTCCCCTCCTCATTCTCCCTCAACAGCCCTTGCTGTGATCCTGGGTGGACAGAGTCCTTGAGGTTCCTCATCTGTGAAATGGGAATGGCGAAAGACCATCCTCTGCACAGGAGGGCACAGGTCAGTGTTTTTGAGCTCTTAACAGGTCCTGGTGCATGCAGCCACTGGGCGCATCTCATGCCTATGGGTTAGCGGAGAGTGGGCCTCTGCGAAATGTATGAGAAAGAGAAGTAATAACTCACGTGGCATGTATGGTTTCAGCAAGCAGATGTCTGAGAGCTTGTGACAAGCCATCTCATTCCTGTGCCTCTGGGATGTTGTCTCTCCCTGTCTTGTGTGGTTGCAGCATTTGAAGGTAACACTTTTCTTACACCAGCCCTATTGGCAGTGTGTGTGGGTCTTGTAGCGTGATGTACATGAAGCCCCTTTTACATGGCCCTGGCTGGGCAGCATAATAGCCTTCACAGGGACATTTACCTGCCCCCATCTGCCTTACTGCAGGCTTCTGAGCACCATCCCTAGAAAGGCTTGCTCCTGTCATGCCTGGGGACTATCACAGTCAGTTACAAAGCCCTTACCCCAGGGCCTTGTGGCTCACACTGGGAGGGATTGGAGGTATCCTGGGGTGCAGCCAGCTTTCCTGGGGCTCTGCAGGTCTGCTAGGTGGCCACAGCAGATGGGGGCTTTCATGACCACACGGGGCCAGTCCAACTAAACAGTGGGGTTGAAGCCCAAGAGCCCATTCCAGTTTATCTTCACCAGAGACACAGTGTCCCTCCGCTGTGCAGCCAGAGATCTCAGGGTTGAGGAGCCAATCGGCCCTCCAGGAAGGAGCTTCTGGCCTGTGAAACTACTGTTACTGTTGTGGTGCTCCTGTTGTATGCCAAGTGTCACCTGAGTTATCAGCCATAGTTACCCCAAACAGGCCATTTTAGCCCCATTTTTCAGCTAAAGAAACTGAGGCTTGCAGCAGTGCAGTAGCTTGCCTGTAATCATGCAACAAGTGTGGCCCAAAATTTGAAGCCAGGTCTCCTCTCTCTTTGTCCTGTACTGTCCCCAAGATAAGAGGGTGTGAGGCCCTGGCCTGCCATGTATTAGAAGTGTGAGAACAGACCATTATGCAGGAGGAGCACTGCAGGGTAGAGAGCTCATCACCTTCCCAGGCTGGGGTCACCTGGAGTCACATATTGCCAACCTAGGTTAGCACATGAGCCCCATCAGCTCACCTTCCCACAGGACCCTTGTACTCAGGGATCCAAGGGAGAGTTGTGGCTGTTACTCCTAGTCTGTGGGGGAGCAGGCTCTGCATGGAGCAGAGCCACACATCTGAGTCTATGGGACTCTAGAATCGCCCTTTCCTTCCTGGGGGTAGCTGGGGAAGGCTGAATGCAGCAGGCTGAGATCCTCGTCTGCTCACCATTGGATGTCCACACCTACTTCTGCCTGGTGTGGAGAAGGAGTATGCAAGAGGAGGGCATGAGTGTGAGAGAGTACACGTGCATGTGTACAAGTGTGCACACATGCATACTCACTTCCAACACTCCTGCACAAAAGACTCTCCCAAGATAACGGGAATGTTCAGGAAACCCAAACATTAAGGATCCTTTCACCAAATTTTCAAAAATACTTCCAATCAAACCTGAGAAAAATAAATAAACATGGTTTTATAAGGAGGTGTCAGTAAGGCTGAGGAGCCCAGGGTGGGGAGACTGGCAATGGACACCTTGACTTCTGTGTGGATGTGCTGACTGTGGCCTTGCTGAGCCTCCCTTATCTCAGTGTGGAGCATGGGTGGTGTTTATCACAAAGGAGCGTTTAGTTAGGAAATAACTGCAGTTTGTCTCTTGTCAGCAATCGACTGTCTCTGTTCAGCTGATTCTCTTGTGGCATCCAGCCGCAAGCCGCCCCGCTCACCCCTTCTTGCTGAGCGTGTTCCTGCAGGTGGAATTAGAATGTTCAGAGTGTGGGTGCCTGGGTGGCTCAGTTGGCTGGGTGACCGACTTTGGCTCAGGTCATGATCTCACAGGTTGTGAGTTTAAGCCCCGCATCGGGCTCTGTGTTGACAGCTCAGAGCCTGGAACCTGCTTTGTATTTTGTGTCTCCCCCTCTCTCTGCCCCCTCCCCTGCTCACACTCTGTGTCTCTCTGTCTCTCAATAATAAATAAACATTAAAAAAAAAAATGTTCAGAGTGTTGGTTCTTGTAGCTACAGATGTATGATTTTGCTCACCTGTCATAGCCTCCTTAGTTCCCTGACTTCACAAAATAGGATATGAGGTCAGCATGGGTTTCCACAGAGTGAGACTATTACTGCAAATTAGGAGCTGAAGGAACCTTGGAAGAAGCCAACAGAGCTTTTTTCCTTTCTCAGTACCTCCCCTTTCTTCCTCATGGCTCTTCTAACAGTGTGTTGTTAGACTCACTACTGACTTGGAGACTTGGGATCCCACCTGAGCAGGAGTGGGACTGATCTGGCACCACTGAGACCTTGAGTTGAAGCCTCACTGGGACCCTGGGTGAGAGGGGCCCACAGGCACCTCTCTAGACTCTGGAGCAGTCTGACTCCCACACAACCTTCCTCTGCTGACAGCCTGTACTGCAACCTCTCAGCCCTTGGTTAATATTATTCACGGGAGAAAACTCCTTTTTCAAGAATTGTGTCCAAGAGCTAAATGTAAATTGATTTGAGATGATCAGTTTGAGTAACAGAAAACTGATTTGCTTCAGTCACAGTGTGCTAGGCTTGATTCTCTCCCAACCATATGGGAATAATTTTATGATGTCCTTCCTGGGGTCAGAGAATCACAAACTCAAAAACCTTATCTCGGTCTGAGAATCTGGTGAAGGGACATGTGAAGGCCCCATGAGTTTGCATTTTGCCCCATGAGTACTGGAGCATTATCAGGAATTTCTAGAAGAGGCTTTTATGGCTGTATTTGGTTTTTCTTAACTGCAAAAGTAATAAATGATACACATTCATTATAGAAAATGCAAGTAAAAGTAAAAATAAAAGCAGAAGTTTCACCCAGAGATTATCACTCCTGACATTTTTTATGTCATTCACTTTTTTTTCCCATGTACCTAATTATTTACAAAATTGTATTATATCACATATGCTTTTGTGATGGCCACAGAGCATCCTGTTATGTGGGTCTACCATATCTTATTTATCCATTTTCCTTTTGCTGGATATTTCACAAGTTTTTAAAGAGTGGAGTGGTATGGTCAAATAAGTATTTTTTAAAAACTACCCCAAAAGTTTGTGGAGTGTTACATTAGCTAGATTCATCTTATTGTTTTCCCCTAAGTAACAGCTGCCCTTCCTCCATTTCCTTTCCCTCCATTTCTTTCCTTAAAGTTTTGGGATGAGAACGAAAGTCCAGACTGTCTAGAGGGGCTGGAGGACAAGCCCCCAGTGTTCTCTTCTTAATATTTTTTAAAAAAAATTTTTTTAACAGTTATTCATTTTTGAGGGACAGAGAGAGAGACAGAGCATGAGCAGGGAAGGGGCAGAGAGAGGGAGACACAGAACCTGAAACAGGCTCCAGGCTCTGAGCTGTCAGCACAGAGCCCGACGCGGGGCTCGAACCCACAAACTGCAAGATCCTGACCTGAGCCGAAGTTGGACGCTCAACCGACTGAGCCACCCAGGCGTCCCTCAGTGTTCTCTTCTTAATTATTAATGTTGCCAAGCCCTCTGCTGAAGTACGAGTTTTGCTCATCTTCAGTCTAGAGAGACTTGGTTTGAGAGATCCTGCTAAGTGGTTGTTTTAGTGATAAAACTAAGATTTGGCACTTTTTTCTGCTGATAGAACTGGTTCTTTAAAAAGAGTAAGGCAGAAACTGAGGTGAAAAAAAATGCCTCCTACCTTGTCCTCAGATTGCTTTGGGATTCACTGTCCCCAGGTTTTATGTTGCCTGAGTCCTGCACTAGAGGCTTACTTTTGTGCGCATTTGGTTATCCAAGGCATTTGATGGCTGCTGTGGTGTGGAAGGCGGCTGAAAGGCAGAGGGCATCAGAGAGGTGTACTCCCAGAAAGCATTCGCTAGCTCACTCCAGAGGGTCCAGGGACCTGCTTGCTTCCCCTTGTCACCTTCCCCAGCCCTGAGTGGGGCATCCACCACCAGACCCAGGGTAGGGCGGGATTTAAAGCAGGGCCCCTGCCCTTACAAGATCTGCAGCTTAGCTGAGGTTCAGTGACCCCTTCTGTCAAGCAGGAACAATGGAGTATCAGACAGTGTGGCCAAGTGCTGTGGGCTGGAAGGTTCCAAGGAAGAAAGGCCATGTTGCTTGGGAGATGTCCCTGGAGAGACGGGGGTCAGTATGGGCCTAGGCGGTGCCCCTTGGGACCCAACATGACATATTCCTTGTGTACCATGCAGACACCTGGAGCAGGGGTACCAGGAAAGGCTGAGCCTCCTGCGGTCTGAGGTGGAGAGGGAACGTGAGCTGCTCTGGGAGCAAACCTGCAGGCAGACAGCTGTGCTGGAGAAGGACCTAGAGCGTCTGCGGGGCGAGGAGGCCAACCTACGTGGGAAGCTGACTCTGGCGCTGAAGGTAGGTGGGGAGCTGTGTCTCCCTAGGACATCCTGCATGGAAAGACATGAGGTTGCCTGAGGGTCCATCCTCCCACATCCCACATTTTCCTGGTCAGGGACTGAATACCTCCTAGTGACCTTATTACATTTCTGTGGGAGGGAAATGCCTGTGATTTCCAACTAAGGAACATTTGCTGCAGCCACAAAGATAGGACATTTCTCAGCCAAAGCAAGAAGGGTCCTGGCTTTTCCACAAGACGCATTACCCCTTCCTTCTCTCTGGTTGTGGGGGCACCAGGACAGGTTGAGACCTGTGGGGCTCTTACTCTCTGCTCTGGGTCAGGGATGATGGTCATGGAGGGTCAGTGGCGGCGGCCAACTTTGCTGCACACCCTGGAAACCAGAGCATCTGTGGGGTCAGCCAAAGACCAAAACCTAAAGCCCACTCTTTGGGAGTCCTGGGTGTGTGGTCTGAAGCAGAGGGAGTTTTCTGGGCTTTGGTGAGTGTCCTGTGATCCACAGCCACCCAGCATTTGATTCCATCCAGTGAGGTGTTCCCTGGTCCATCCTCTGCTCCTGCCTTCCTCTTCTTTTCCTAACTCAGAGCCTGCAGATTCTTTCCACATCTGCCTGGTCTCTGTCTGCCTGGGGCAGAAGCTGGGCCCTTGCCCACACCGTGTCCTTACTGCTCTTCTCCATGATTTTCCATGTCTGTGGGCTCTGCCTTCCTCCCCTGCTGGACATCTGAACTATAAGTGTGTAGTTTCAAATCCCTCATTCAGAAAACAGCTCAGAAAGGATTGCCCCCAGCCTCTTGTGTTACTCATAGCCTTCTTGAGCACTGGGGATGGGAGAAGTAAGAGCAGTGAAGAAAGCGACGAGCACTGGTGAGGGGTTCTGTGGGGTTGGTTCCCCAGCACAGCCTCCTCTCCTGCAAGCAGTGAGCAGCAGACACCTGCATTTGCAGGTTTCTTCCCTGATTGGGAGTGCTGCTGGGAATAAGTTTTTGATGCAGAGGGGAGATAAGCTGCTGACAGCTCTGTCCTTCACTCCCAAAGCCCGGTAAACGCTGGTTTTTGTCTTGTAGGAAAACAGTCGATTACAGAAGGAGATTATTGAAGTTGTGGAAAAGCTTTCGGAATCAGAGAAGCTGGTCTTGAAATTGCAGAATGACCTGGAATTTGTGTTGAAGGACAAGGCAAGTCCTTTTGCTGATTCTGAGTCTCTGGTTACTGGGTAAAAAGTGTCAGGGACTTGAATCCATAGGTGACTGAATTCTGTTTTTTCTTACTTAAATTCCAGAATGGAGAGAAAAATCAGCAGATTGACCTTCCTTCTGTTTTCTTCCTCTTCATTGCAGTGCAGGGGTACTAATCTTTTAGTGACAGAGCCAGGGCTCGCCAGCACCATGTGTACAGACCCCAGTGATAGGTTCTCAGTGGTGGGGGGCACAGAAGAGAGCTCCATGCCCACCATGAGGCCCTCCATCTGGCCCTGCCCATCACTTTGGGAGAAGGAGGGGAGTGGAGGTGCTGCATGGAGAGGTCCAGGCAGGGGGCATCCCAGGCAGCTGAGGTAGGAATGCACCCTAGACTCCAGTTAAGAGTATGACCACCTTCCATAAATTCAGAGCATCCTTCTGCCTTGAGATATTTTAAATGAAGGGAGGGAGGAGGAGGAGGGATGGAAGGCTGTACCTGGAGATGCTGAGCCTAGTGGGAGGAACATGATGGAGTGACAGCACACATTCTACCTGGCCTGAGGTCCTATCATTTTTCTGTGTGGGTCTGACTTTCAGCTGGAGCCACAGAGTACAGAGCTCCTGGCCCAGGAGGAGCGGTTTGTAGAGGTCCTAAAGGAGTACGAGCTCAAGTGCCGGGTATGTGCCCCACCTGGCCCCCTTTGCTATCCCAAGCCATAACATTTACTTTGTCTTGCACTGGGACATTGCTTTTGTCTTTGGTGCATGGGGTCTTCATGCACCCATGCCCTGAACCATCCAGCCCACTTTACAGAAAGGGCAGTGGTGCTGGGGAAGGTTCTGAGAGCTTGGCCCTCCAGAGATCTGGTGCCAGAAGGCTGCGCAGCCTTCTCCTGGCCGTGCTTGCTAAGAGTGGGGTGTTAGAGCCCATGAGATGGGTAGATGGTGCAAGTTATCAGGGTCTGACTGGTTCACACCTGGGTGGTAGTGTGTAGGCCTCATACTTCACCCTCCTGCCTGGGAGTGGCCTGTCATTCATAGTGGCCCACATTCCTGACCTCCACATGAAGGATAGTCCAGTATGGGTCAGCAGGAGCATCCGTGTATGAGTAGAGCAAGTGGAGCCTGTGATCTCAGCCTGTGTTCTACTAATGGATCCTCCCAAGTTTCATGTTCTTCAAGGAGAGGTGACCCAACTTGCCTGTGTGGTGCCCATGCTGAGCCCCCCACAGGCTGGCCAAGGCTGATAGACTGGCACCAGTTCTGAAGCCCCCCTCAGTGTTTCCAGGCACCATGCAGGTAGCCAAACCTACCAAGGGCCATCCATTAGTTAGAGACACCGCAGAGCAAGGCATAGGTGGTGAACAATAGGTCAGTGGTGCTGAAACGTATCACACCCCTGTTACACTCTTAAAATGATCCAGGACCCCAACAGATAAAACATTATTGTTTGTTATTAAGGGTCTATGATCAATTCACTTCTTAATGATCTCCCTCCAAATTAAAGTCAGAATTGACTTTGTTCCTGCTGTACATTGCTTTGGCAACACCAGAGGATAAAGGTGAGCCCATGCTGTTCTGGAGTGTGACATGACCCACTGTTTCCTGCCCTGTGCTCTTTTCCTCTGCTCCAAACCCCGATGCCAGGGTACCCTCCTGAAATCCTGTGTTTGTCAGCTGTGTCACCCTCCTCCTGAACCTCCTGCTGTCATGTGTTAGGGTCTGTTGTGCAGGTGGGATTGCAGTCACATGTTGTGTTTCCTCCCTCCCTTTAAGCTTGTTGCCTGGACTTAGAGCCTGTAACTAATCATCAGTTAATACGTTACTTTAGTCCACTGAATCTTTCAAACACCCATAAATCCATCTTTCTTTCATGGGACTCTGTTACTAATTTCACTTTTGGTTCTTAAAATTTGACTTCTTGAAACATCAGAAATATTGAACATATTAGTGTTAATCTATTCAGATATTTGCTTTTTCCATTTTTAAGAATATTTTTGATTGTTTCACAGTAACATTTAGAGCATTAAGAAAACTTTTCATTGGAAAATAATTTCTAATACATGAAGTTACAAAAGTGAAAATAGTGGCAGGGACACCTGGATACCTTTTGCCCATATTCACCTGTTGTTTACATTTTACTCCATGTGCTCGTTGCATGTTTGCTCACTTGTGTGCTGTGTATGGATGTGAATATGTATACACAGTTATTTTCTGAACATCTCAGGGTGAGTGCATCACGGGGCCACTCCACCCCTCTACACTCAGTACACATTTCCGAAGAACAGGCTTAGTCCCACTTCCTTGCAGTGGTGTGCATGTGCACAGAGTTGATTGTTCAGTGTTCAGGAGTTTTGCCAGCTTCTTGCTAAACCTTTGATAGCTTGAAATCAGCTCTTGTGAGAGTTATTTACACCACAGAAATGTGCAAAAGCCAGAAATCTGGGCTTTTCTTCCGGAAGACCCAGCTTCCCATTCCACCTAACTGTGACACACTTATTAACTTCATGATTCCCACAGATACAATACCTTAACCTGCTGGTTGTATTTCAGTTTTGTTAGTTAACCTACAGGATCCATTGTAGGTCCGATGTTGCCTTTAGTTGTCTGTGTAAGGTCCTTCAGTCTGAAACATTATGTCTTAGGCTGTTCGGGCTGCTACAACAAAAACGTCATAGATGGGGAAATTATAAACCAGATTTAGTTCCCACAGTTCTGGAGGTGGTGTTACTGAACTCAAGTGGGCCTGCTCCTTTGGTGAGATGCAGACAGAGACTACGCCAATGGAGCTGCCTCACAAGCTTGCTTTATTTGTAGGAATAGGGAGATAATGGGGAGTAATTAAAACAGCCAAACAAGGGAAAGCAGCAGGCTGCTTTTACTGGGGCTCGGGATCAATATTCAGAGAGGGATTTTCACATTATAATGAGGCTGAGGTAACTGTCCATCACTTTTTTTTTTAATATAATTTATTGACAAATTGGTTGCCATACAACACCCAGTGCTCATCCCAACAAGTGCCCTCCTCCATGCCCATCACACACTTTCTCCTCTGTCCCACCCCCCATCAACCCTCAGTTTGTTCTCAGTATACAAGAGTCTCTTATGGTTTGCCTCCCACCCTCTCTGTAACTTTTATTTTCCCTTTCCCCTCCCCCATGGTCTTCTGTTAAGTTTCTCAAGATGCACTTATGAGTGAAAACATGGTATCTATCTTTCTCTGACTGACTTATTTCACTTTGCATGATATCTTCTGGTTTCATCCATGTTGCTGCAAATGGCCAGATTTCATTCTTTCTCATTGCCAAGTAGTATTCCATTGTATATATAAACCACATCTTCTTTATCCATTCGTCAGTTGATGGACATTTAGGTTCTTTCCATAATTTGGCTATTGTTGAAAGTGCTGCTGTCTGCACTCTGGCCTCCTCAAGTTTTGTTTTTTGTTTTTGTTTTTGTTTTTGTTTTTCTGATTGATTGATTGACTGATTGTGAGGATGAGCCCGGGAAGGGCAGAGAGGGACAGACAGAATCCCAACCAGGCTCTACACTGTTAGTGCTGAGCCCGACATGGGGCTTGATCTCATAAACTGTGAATTCATGACCTGAGCTGAAATCAAGTGGGATACATAACTGACTGGGCCACCCAGGCACCCCAGTGTTTCTTTTTCTAGCAGTTTGTTAGTTTGTTTTTAAAATTTTTTTAAAGTTCATTTTGAGAGAGATGGAGACCTCAGGCGCCAGTGGGAGGGAGAGGGGCAGAGAGAGAAGGAGGCAGAGAATTCCAAGCAGGCTCTGTGCTGTCAGCCAGCACAGAGCCCGATGCGGGCTTGAACCCACAAAACTGTGAGTTCATGACCTGAGCCGAAAACAAGAGTCAGACACTCAGTCAGTTAAGCATCTGACTTTGGCTCAGGTCATGATTGCACGGTTTGTGAGTTTGAGCCCCGCATGTGGGGCTCTGTGCTGACAGCTTGGAGCCTGGAGCCTGCTTCAGATTCTGTGTCTCCCCCTCTCTCTCTCTCTCTCTGTCTCTCTCTCTCAAAAATAAGCATTAAAAAAATAAAAAATAAAATAAAGTAAAATAAAATAAAATAAAATAAAAGGTGAGATTGACAGCTAGGCAGAAGCCTCTAAGAATTTAGTTCCTAAAAGGTAAGACAGGCAGAAGCTTCTACTAGAAATTCCCTTAGCTCGGAGTCAGGCTTGTGATTTGGTATTGGGTGAGAGCTCTCTTCCTGGTACAGATGGAAAGGCTGCCTCCAAGGGATTTCTCTGGGATCTCGAACAACAGGGCACTAATCCCTCATGACCCAAGGGTTCTAGTAGACCTCATGATCCTATCACCTCCCAAAGTCCTGGCCTCCAAAACCATCACCTTGGGTGTTAAATCCTAACAGTCTCCAGCACATTCCCACAGCCTTTTCTTTGTCTCTGACATGGATATTTTTATTTATTTTTTATTTTTTATTTTATTTATTTATTTTTTTTTTAATTTTTTTTTTAACGTTTATTTATTTTTGAGACAGAGAGAGACAGAGCATGAACAGGGGAGGTGCAGAGAGAGAGGGAGACAAAGAATCTGAAACAGGCTCCAGGCTCTGAGCTGTCAGCACAGAGCCTGACGCGGGGCTCGAACTCACGGACCGTGAGATCATGACCTGAGCCGAAGTCAGACGCTTAACCGACCAAGCCACCCAGGCACCCCAGACATGGATATTTTTAAAGAGAGATTTTTAAACATTCTTATTTCGTGTTGTTCTGATACTTCTTTTGTATTAAATTAAGATTATGTGTTCTCAGCCAGACAGCATAGGTGATGTTAAGGTGTTGCCTAATTTCCCCATTGTATAGTTACTGTTTTTTTTTCTCCCATGCAACTAATAAGCAATCAGTAGGGAGACACTTAAAAATGACATAAACATCCTGTTCTTCATCAAAATTTTCCCTGGATTTAATATCCAATTGGATAGTATCCAGTCTTTACCATGATGGCTGCAAAATAATGATTTCCCAAGCCTAGCACCATTCTGCATCTATCAGTTGGCCCTTGGTGTTCTCCTATAAGCCATAGGCGTCCTGTTCCTCTGCTCTTTGCTACAGGAGGGTCACTGCCTCTGGCTAATGGTGTTTTATTTTTATTTATTTTTAATTTTTTATGTTTTATTTTATATTAGAGAGACAGAGAGCACGAGCAGGAGAGGGCAGGGAAATGGAGACAGAATTCAAAGCAGGCTCCAAGCTGTCAGCACAGAGCCTGATGCGGGGCTCGAACTCATAAGCAGTGAGATCACAACCTGAGCTGAAGTTGGGACACTTAACCAACTAAGCCACCCAGGAGCCCCCCTGGCTAATGGTGTTTTTAGAGTCAGTCTCCAGAGGTAGAGGCAACTTTCAACCTTCCCCGTGGTGTGTCACCCAACCTTTCCAAAGTCACTGCTCTGCATTTCCCTGTACTTTGTAACCAGGATATTTGTTAGCAGTGAGACTGTGCTTTCCCTTGTTGCCAAATCCTCTCCCTATTTAACTGTCATTTTAGCTTTTTGTTATGTCTTTCTCAATCTTAATTTTGTTGGCGAGGCTGCCTTTGATTAAAGGGGAGTGTGAATGTTAATCAGTGTTCTCTGTGATTTCATGTTTCTGCTGTTGCTTTGGGTGGACACTATAATGGAGGAGTGTGTCCTTGGTCAGACACCCCAAATGCAGATTTTCCCTTCCCTCATTTCCACACTGTTACAGATGGAATGCTTGTGTTTCCTCAAATTCTTATGTTGTAGCTTGTGCTCCCAGTGTGACAATGTTAGGAGGTAGGGCCTTTGGGGATGATTAGGTCATAAGGGTGGAGCCCAGTGAAAGGTATTAGTGATTTGTATAAGGGACCCCAGAGAACTCCCCCATCTGTTCCACCATGGGACAGGAAAAGACCACCAACTACCAACAAGGAAGCCCTCACCAGACACTATATCTGTCAGCACCTTGATCATGGACTTCTAGTCTCAGAACTATGAGAACTAAATTTCTGTTACTTATGAACCCTGTCTGTGGAAATTTGTTATAGAAGCCCGAATGGATTGAGACACACAACAACCCCTAACAGATGTCCCCACCATTGCCCATCTTAGGTGGTTCTTTATCTGCCCCCCTCCTTCCCCCACTTATATATATACATACTCAGGCCCAGCTTGTAGTCCCAGCCAACCTGCTGGCACCATCTTCCTCTCTGGCACTTTCCAGTGCTGCTGTTGAAATCCCACCCTCCCCTTGGACCCTTCATGCTGCCATATCAGGGCAATGGCCTTGTTGCCTTTCCTGGCTGGTGCAATAACGCCCTATAACTGTCTTTGGCACCCATAGGCACACCCAGTAAATGTGAGTCCATGTGAAAATAAACAGGCACCTGGTTCCCCAGCCCCACCAGACACCCACTGTATAGAGCTGAAGCCCATGGCTGGTGCCTAGGATGGCACATGTCACCCTCATCAGTTAGAACTGAGCACATTCCCTGCTCTGTCTTGAGAGCAAAGAAGTCTATGGCTAGCATAGCACCTAAGAGAACCTGTTTTCTGGTACTGCTGAATTTATGGGATATGTGTATATTCTCAGAATACTCAATACAAGGTACACATGTAATTTTAAGTTTTTCTGTAGGCATACTGAAACATATAAAAAGAAATAATTTTAGTAACATGTAATCCATTATATCCACACAATTATCATTTCAACATATAATCAATATAAGCAATTTTTTAAGTTTATTTATTTTGACAGAGACAGAGCACGAGTGGGGGGAGGGGCAGAGAGAGGGGGAGAGGAGAGAATCCCAAGCAGGCTCCACAGTCAGTGCAGAGCAAGATGTGGAGCTTGAACTCATGAAACTGTGATATCATGACCTGAGCCAAAATCAAGAGTTGGACACTTAACCAACAGAGCCACCTAGGTGCCCCAATATAAGCAAATTTTTAATGAGATATTTTACATCCTGTTTTTGGAATCCAGTCTTTGAAATTCAGTGTAGATTTTAGGCTACAGCCATGTTGGTTCAGACTGACCATACCTGAGCTGCTTGGTGGCCTGTGTGGTGAGCACTGCCATCTTAGATATGCCAAAGCTAGAGCAGCAGTGATCACAGGCTGTGTCAGCAACCAGGCTGTGTACATGCTCTGCTCTGCAGACTTGCCCCAGAGCTCTAACTTGCTAGCCCTGCCCTTCTCCCCCCAGAGTTGCTCTTTCCATCGGGAAACTCTTATATTTGCCCAGGAGCTTCTGAATGAGGTACAGTGACCCTTTGTGAAGGGTCTTACAGCATCTATGCAGAGCCTGTCCCTTCTCCTGCTGCCTAGAATTGCCAATAAGAGGATTCTTCTCCAGGGGAGATGCAGTTACAGACCAGGCGATGGCCAATAAGACCAGTTTTATTAAGATTAGGTTTATTCAGTGAGAGCTGCTTGGAGAGGAAACTCAAATAGCATTCAAAAACCAGAGAGGAACAAAACTAAAAGGCAACCAACAGAATGGGAAAAGATATTTGCAAATGACATATCGGACAAAGGGCTAGTATCCAAAATCTATAAAGAGCACACCAAACTCCGTACCCAAAAAACAAATAAACCAGTGAAGAAATGGGCAGAAAACATGAATAGACACTTCTCTAAAGAAGACATCCAGATGGCCAACAGGCACATGAAAAGATGCTCAACGTTGCTCCTCCTCAGGGAAATACAAATCAAAACCACACTCAGATACTACCTCACACCAGTCAGAGTGGCTAAAATGAACAAATCAGGAGACTACAGATGCTCGTGAGGATATGGAGAAGCAGAAACCCTCTTGCACTGTTGGTGGGAATGCAAACTGGTGCAGCCGCTCTGGAAAACAGTGTGGAGGTTCCTCAAAAAATTAAAACTAGATCTACCCTATGACCCAGCAATAGCACTGCTAGGAATTACCCAAGAGATACAGGAGTGCTGATGCATAGGGGCACTTGTACCCCAGTGTTTATAGCAGCACTCTCAACAATAGCCAAATTATGGAAAGATCCTAAATGTCCAACAACTGATGAATGGATAAAGAAGCTGTGGTTTATATACACAATGGAATACTACATGGCAATGAGAAAGAATGAAATATGGCCTTTTGTAGCAACATGGATGGAACTGGAGAGTGTTATGCTAAATGAAATAAGTCATACAGGGAAAGACAGATACCATGTTTTCACTCCTATGTGGATTCTGAGAAACTTAACAGAAGACCATGGGGGAGGGGAAGGGAAAAAAAAAAGAGAGGTTAGAGAGGGAGGGAGCCAAACCATAAGAGACTCTTAAAAACTGAGAACAAACTGAGGGTTGATGGGGGGTGGGAGGTAGGGGAGGGTGGGTGATGGGTATTGAGGAGGGCACCTTTTGGGATGAGCACTGGGTGTTGTATGGAAACCAATTTGACAATAAATTTCATATTAAAAATAAAATAAAAATTAAAAATAAAACAATTAAATTAAATTAAAATTTTTTTAAAAAGACAAGACAGAGAGGAATGTGTGGAGCCTTGTGAGAGGTATGCCATGGGCTGGGCCCTGAATCCTCTCCATGTGGCCTTGGATGCACTTTTGGGAGTGTCCCAAAAGAAGATGGCTGAAAGCTGCATCCTTGGAAGACACAGCATCACTTGTGCTATCCTCCAGGTTAGTCAGTCACAGGCCCACCGGGGTTCCAGGGAAGGAGGACTTAGATCCAGAGTCATGAGTGGATGTGGTAACACATGCAGCTGTGGGACCATCTAGGAAGGCAGCTATAAACTCTACCCTTTCTAGCCCTTTAAAAGTCAGATGACAGGGTGTGCTTGTTGAGATGTGTTTCATTCAAGTGTGGACAAAATTATGCTGGTTATAAATGAGACCCTTCCTCTGAAGCTTTCATGGCCCCTCCTCCTCAAATCCCCTCACATCCACCTATGTGCATGCTCACCCACCATCCTTTCTGTTTGACACAGTCATTTTTCTTTGTGGCCCTTGGTCTGAAACACCTGGTATTCTCTTTTCTCAGTAGCTGTAGAAAGAACCCTTGGAAATTCAACAACAGGAAAGGAAAGAATCCCAGGACACATCCCAGACAGTGCTGTCTCACACCCACGTCACAACATTATTATGGTCTTAAACCACTAGAGTTTCAAATATTAATGGTTCTCTGTATTTTCTACATTCCTCCTCAATTTTCACTTCAGTCTTTTTTTTTTTTCTTAGTCCCTCCTGTGTATCCAGTGGTTGAAAGTGGTGCAGAGCATAAGAAAGTCAGGAAGCGGCCCTGAAAGTGGTGCAGAGCATAAGAAAGTCAGGAAGAGCTTTCGTTAGGCTCACCTGTCATTAGGAAGCTAGAATACAGTTTAAGTGTTGTGTGCTGGAAGTCAGGGCCTGACACCTGGCTGCTCCCTGGGCGGGCCAGCTCCATACTGCTGTGCTCCTCACCACTCCTCAGGTGGCCATATTGGCTGCAGGGGGTGTCTGGCTCTGCTCTGTAGGACCTGCAGGACCACAACGACGAGCTGCAAACTGCACTGGAAGGCCTGCGGGCACAGCTGCCTCCGAGTTGGCGTGGCCATCCCCATGCACAGCCAGAGGAACGGCTGCTCTCTGGACATGGCCCAGCAGGTAGGAGCCCAGTCCTGGGAGGTAAGGGATTATGTGCTTCTGCTGTGGGAGAGCAGGGGCTGGTGGCAATGGATATCTGTCTGCCCCCACTGCATGAGCTGCCCCCTGATCCAGGGGCACTCTATAGGAGGGGGGGCCAGCTCCACAGCATGTCAGGCTTCCAGAGGGTCATGAGCCCCTTTGGACCAGCACATTTGGGAGAATGGCCTATAACCCAAGGCCAGGGACAATATCCAGAGTCTCAAGGGAAGAAGAGGGTGAAGGTTTTACCATTTAGGTAGAGATGGTGAAGTTATGATGACCTTGTAGTGACCTCAGGACAGGCATGACCTAGTAAGCCCCTTGGGTCGTGGGGAGGATCCATAGAGATGTCCCAGGGTGATCGTTCAGCATGGTTGGACACAGTCATTTAGGGAAGGGAAGGGAGGAGAGGAGAGGCTGGGGGTCAAACAGAGCATGAGGTCTGGTCTTAGGTCTGTAACAGCTCTCAGGGAAAGTGCTAGATTGTGTGAAATGCATCAGGGACTTCCGATATTCACAGAGGCCTCACATGGACCATGGCAGAATAGGGCTGATGTTTACTGCCTGGAATGTGTGGAAAGGGTCAAGGTGGGGTGGGGCCTTGGTACCTTGGTACCCATGCACAGAGCTGATGCTGAAGGTGTCACTTGAAAAAGATCAAGTCGGGGCGCCTGGGTGGCGCAGTCGGTTAAGCGTCCGACTTTAGCCAGGTCACGATCTCACGGTCCGTGAGTTCGAGCCCCGCGTCAGGCTCTGGGCTGATGGCTCGGAGCCTGGAGCCTGTTTCCGATTCTGTGTCTCCCTCTCTCTCTGCCCCTCCCCCGTTCATGCTCTGTCTCTGTCTGTCCCATAAATAAATGAAAAAACGTTGAAAAAAAAAATTAAAAAAAAAAAAGAAAAAGATCAAGTCTTCCTGCTCTCCAACTCTTCAGCCTGTGAGGTTTGGGACAAGCTCCAAACACCAGGAGACCTCAGTGCCCTGTGTTTAACTTGTTGCCTCCTACTAGAGACCAGAATGGGCGGGGTGGGAGTTCAGATGCCCCAGCTGTCCCTGAGGTTTCCGTGGTTCCTCTGGAGGACAGGGTGGGTTTGGCTGGTTGCCGCCTTTCCTTACAGTTGTGTGCAGTCGGCAACATGCAAGTTCACATGGTGCCCATGGCTCCATGCATGATGCTGCTGGTGGGAGTACACAAGGGGACCGCCAGGACTTCCCTACCTCTGGCCACTTGGCTGCCTCCACTGACTGCGTATCAAGGCAGAGTCAGCCCCTCAGAGAGCATCTTGTTCTCATCTGCAATCCTGAGAGCACTCAGAGCTACCATATTGTCCTAAAGCTGTTTACTTCATAAAACAGAAAAAAAAGTTTGTACCTAAGAGAGCCAACATGGGACCCTCCAAGGGGAACTGAGTGGGGCTTTCTGTGCATGTGGGTCCAGCTTCCTTGCCCCTTTAGGCCTTCTTTAGTGGAGTCTAATGGCTCCAAGTCCATGACTTGTAGTCTGCAGCCCTCAGCTGGGAGGTGTTGGGGTATGGCCAGCACACTGGACATTATCACATCCTCAGGTAAGTGTTACATGTGGCTAGGTGGGCAGCCTGACCACAAGGAGGAACTTGTCCCTGGAAAGGAGCCCGGGATACACAGAGCATGGAACCTTTGTCAAGAGCCACCAACTTGTAACCCAGGGAGCAGCAGAGCTAGTGTCCTGTACCTTGGGTGGCCCTTGTCCAGAAGACCTTGGGTTGTGGCACTGAAAGGCAGCCTCTGGCTTTATGTCATCACTGATCTGCCCACCAAAGCCCTTTCTCTTTCCCTTTGCCCCCCCCCACCCCCCGCATCTGATCACAGTTTCCATCAGTCCCTTCAAAGGAGGGGGGGGGGTCTGTCTGCTGCCACAGGGGAGTCTTGGGGGAAGGGCTGTGTGGATCACGGTGGCTGTCCCATTAGTGCTTCCAGCTGGAGCCACTCCAGCCTGGTGTTCCTTCACCCAGGTCTGCTCAGCCAAAACCATGTGGCAGCTCTAGCTGTCAAGGGAGAGGCTGCTTTCTTTCCTAAGATGCTTGTCCTGACTTCTCTCAACCACATGGTTCTCAGTCTGTCACTTGTTTTCATGGAAAATAGTTAAGGGGTGTGTCATTTCCCTTCACTTTCCCAGCCCCAGACCCAACACAGATGAAACCTGAGCAGTAGCCAAAACCCACATTCTGAGTCAACTCTTTGGTGTGCCTCTCAACACACACAGCATTGGGAATGCCTGGTGCCCCAGGGGGTGCTGGTGGTGCTTGTGGTTCTATGGGTGCCTCACAAAATGAGCTGCAAGGACATCTGACATTGTTGGTCTGTGAGAAAAGTCATCTGGAACAAGCAGTCGCTTATGTCCTCTTTCCTGTGATCTGTCAGAAGCTTTGCTCAATGAGTATTTACCATGCCTAATGTATTTGTTGAAACTCCATATTATTATCATATAAAAGTAAGTAACATAGAGTCTCCAAGAAAATGGAGGAGCTAAGATAAAAAGATTGAAGAAATAGGCTCATAATGCCTCATCATAAAGCATTGACTGCTCCAGAAGTTAGTCTGTGCCTTGTCTGTCTTCCCAGTTCCTCAGGGTACCTGGCATCATCCGGGAACAGAATTCAGGGGGTAGTAAAAGTACCATGTATGCCATCTTTTAGGGAATCCAAGGGCCTGATGGTTCGTGCAGGGAGCCTCCTGGTTATATCTTTGAGGAACGAGTGTTAGGTCAAAGAGACCTGATTTCTGAAGAGCTCCTACTTTGAGAGCTCAAGATAACATTGCTTGTGGAAACCTTTGAGGGTCAGCTGTCTCCACCAGCACTGCGTTCCTTTTGCAGAAGGTGCCCATGGAAGGTTGTGCTTGGTGGGGGGCATGGTGGAGGAAGGCTGGGCTGAATACTCAGTGCTGTCCAGATGTCAGATTGGAAGGCTAGGAATAGACCCATGGCATCCTTGGCAGGTCATAAATGGAAATGTCTTCTCGTTTGCAGGCACCACTTCATTTGTGGGTGATTGCATTCCAGTGAGTTTAGAAACCGAGATAATGATGGAGCAGGTGAAGGAACACTACCAAGACCTCAAGATCCAGCTGGAGACCAAGGTCAGAGGGAGTGAGGATGGCCACAGGGACACAGAGAGGCTTCCTGCTGCATGCTAGAAAGCTTCGCTTGGCAGTGCACGTTTCCGCATGCACACGTGTGCCCTAGACTCTGGGCCCCATAGTAAGCCTGCTACGGGGGACAAAAGATTATGGGGAAACGTTTTAAAATAAAATGTACATTCTGCCTCACACCCTCTTTGGAAGTAGGCAAGAGATAAGGAAAGACCAATTAAGGGAGGGAATGAGGTTATGTGTACCCGAATTCACAAGGGTTGCACAAGGCCAGACTTCCCTGCTCACTCTGCTGAAGGGGAAGAACACCTCCTGGCTGTATTCTAAGCAGAAACAACCCTGGGATTGCCCCTTGTGGGGTACTCTGTGACCTTGTGGCCAGGACCCTGGCTGAGTCTGTCTTCTTAGATAAACTTCTCTCCTGCTCCGTTAGCAGATTGTAGTGGGTTTTGTTAAGGGACAGGATCCATGACTTGTTTTCATGATTTGTTGTCAGAGTTAAGAGTAGCAGCAAGGTGGGATTACATGTCTTGCGCTTGTGCCCTGGGCTCCCTGGATGCATTTGCTGGAAACTCCTGCCTCAAGGATGTTCAGAGTCACCTGCTGGTCTCAGGAAGGTTCCCCAGTTCTCTCAGTTGTTTCACTCTCTGCCCTCCTTAGAGGCCTGACCAAGCACCTGGTCTGGTATGGTCCCAGCCTCTGTTCCCCACCTGCTGGACCTGCCCCCTGGGGCCCTTGTGAAGGTTATGCAAGACAACAGAAGCCCACAGCCACACTGCACCCTGGGGGAGGCTTGACTGTCGTTAGCATAGCTGTTACCCTCACAAGCCTGTGCACTTTGTCGGGTCTCGGCCACCAGTTCTTTGGATGTTGTGCCTGGAAGTCCGTTATTTCTGTTTCACATTGTAAGGTAAGTCATTCTCAGGACCTCTTTATCTTTGCTGCTCACGTTTCTCTTCTCAGGTAAATTCCTATGAAAGGGAAATGGAGGTGATGAGAAGGGACTTTGCAAAGGAGAGGGAGGAAATGCAGCAGACCTTCAGGCTTGAGGTCCGTGTGTTGGAGTGCAGGAGGGCCGACCTGGAGGTGCTGCTCATGAAGTCTCAGGAGCTCATCCGAGGCCTGCAGGACCAGCTCCAGCAGGCTTCCCACAGCCCCTTGACAGAGAGGGCAGTGTTGGGACAGTGCTGTGCACAGGCGCTATCTGGCCCAGCCCAGCGGCTGGCCCAGGAACAGGACCCACTGAAGCAGGAGCAGCGCCAGAGGCATCGGAAGGAGCTTCAGCGAGTCAGGTTGGGTGCCGTGTCCTTTCAGGATCTCACATCTAGGGTTTCTTGCCAAGAACCCAAATTTGAAATTGCATTAGGCAAACTGCTCAGAATCACAGTGCCTGCTAACGGGGTGCTTTTTCTCAGGGCAGGTGGGTGAGCATTGAAAGAATAGGATCATAAGGATTGTTCCTTTGCATTAAAAATGTGTTAACTAGAGTAGAGGAGTTAAAATTCCTTGTAGAATTCTGCCTTAGACTCGCTGATAGCAAAGGTTCTTAAATGTTCTTCATTTAATATCTCATTCTAATTTTCCAGGATGTTGTATTATATAACACATGAGGAGATGGATAAAAGGTATAAAAGCCCTAAAACCATGGGAAAGACGAGTAATTTGGGTTAGTGAGGTTCTTGAAAAGGTCAAAATATATGAGCAAAGAGGAGGAAAGTTTTATTTGGAAAACGAATATGGCATTTTGTATCCAACGGTATCATAGTTATGTGAAAAATACCCATATGTCCATATGGGTCTGACTTAATAGAGTGAATGACTAGTTATTTCAGCCATGGTGCTGGTTAGTCAGCCCCTCTGTGACTTGTGGGGAGTCTTGGACCCGCCCAGCTCAGGCGGGGATGACCACGCCCATACGTTGACCCTGGGCTGATCTGACTACTCACAGTGGAGGGGCCCACCGTACTTCCGCTCCTCATGGAGAGGCTGTGTAGGGCTCAGTGGAGTTCCAGTGGTGGAGCTGAGTACACATGGCATCAGTCACCCCCTGATTGCAGGATGTTTGCCACCTGTATATGGAAACACGCCCTCCAGTCTGGGTGGGGTACACTTTCCCCTTCTTTGGCTTGATGATTGGGGGTAGCTCAAATACATGAGATGTGCTGTGAAAGACCAGACTGCTCTCCAAGTCTGTGGGTGTTCCCTCCTCCTTGCACTCCAGATGACACAGTGGAGGGGCCCCAGGCCCTTAAGGCCTGACAGGAACTATCCCTCTCCTAGAGGACCATAAAGGTCATTTTAAAGCCATGTACTTCTTCTGAGCTTTAAGTTATTTTCTCTTAAACCCCAGAGCTGTGTGATAAGGGTCTTGACCCAAGTCCTTCTAGACCCCACCAGCAACGGGGGGGGGGGTCAGTGCAGGGTAGCCCCTCCCACCATCCTGTGCTGTCCATCTGGAGGACCTTCTTGCTCATGGCCCCTCCTCAGGCTGGAGCTGGAGCCACATACAACCATATGTCCTGTCCTCAGGCCAGCACTGGCCAGGAGCAGAGAACGCGCCCTTAGTGCCCCCACCTCAGCTGGGACCCCATTCTCCTGGGGCTGTCCTGGTTCCAGCAACTTACCAAATCTTCAAGGGTAGTTTTGACTGTGGGCAAGATTCACATGGCTCACTAAAGCTTTAGACCACTAAAGTTCTATCCTTAGAACTTCCTGTGATAGGGGACACGTCCTGTGTCTGCTCTGTCCATGATGGCAGCTATGAGCCACATGTGGTTACTGAGTCCTGGACATGTGGCCTGCATGACTCAGGTACTGAATTTTATCCTATTTAATTATAATCAACTTACACTAAAAGTTATCTGTGTGAGTGGCTTCATGTCAGCTTCTATATGTAGAACCCAACCCCACTGAAGAGATCCTCCAATAGACCCTCTAAGGAGGGTCCCAGGGCATGGATGGAGCTCTGGGGTGCATGGGAGATGAAGGGACAGAACAGGTCAGGCAAAGAGGAGGTTTGCAGTCAGGACAAGAAGAGCCTTTGAGGAGGCCTTTCCAACCCTGGGAGGAAGGGCTGGGCCTGGAGCTACACCCACAGTGCCTGTGATGTGCTCTGTTTCTGTAGGAAAGAGGCAGAAGTTGAGTTGAACCACAAGCTCTCAAGGACGGAAGCCTTACAGCAGACTGCCCACTGTAAGGACTTAGCGCTGCAGCCTCAGCAGGAGAAGGAAGAGCAGAAACACCTGCTGCAAGTCCATGAGGTGATAGAGCAGCATGATCTGGAGAAGGAGTGGAGGGAGGGCAAAGGGAAGGAGATCCTCCCACTCTGTGGAAGGCAGCAGCTAAAGCTGCAGGAGCTGACAGGTGAGGAGCAGATGCAACCGTGCAGGTCCTCTGCCGTGGAGAAGGAAAGACTGGAGCTTGCCTGTAGGAAGCAAATGGGAAAGCTTATGCAGGAAGAAGACATGCTGCAGGCCTGCTTGAAGGATGGGCCAGCAGTGGCAGGTGATGACCAAGAAGGTATGGGTGGCCCCATGCCCCTCTGTGCAGGCAGGAGGGAGCAGTCACTGGTGTGGCAGGAACCTGGTGCTGGGCATGGCCATGGGCAAGCCAGGCACAGGGATGTGCCAGGCCGGTACTTGTGCCATATGGACCCCAGGCAGAGCCCAGCCCTAGACCCTGCCTTGGACTGCAGAGGGTCCTTGGAGAACCTTGGCCTCAGAGAGGATGGTCAGGGTGTACTTGACCCTGAGGAGGTAGCTTCTGCCCCCCCAGGGAGGTGGTTACAAGTGCATCAACGTGGGGTGGACAAGAAAGCAGTCCTAGAGGAGCTGGTACCTCCTGCCATTGGCCCATCTGGTCTGAATCAGCCTGAAGCCCAGGAGCTGCTCTGGAAAACAGAGGGAGATGCCTCACCAGCTCAGCCCCCAACATCAGGCAGAGGAGAGACTGAGAGGCAGCCAGCCATTCTTGAGCGAGCTGGGAACCTGAGTGGGGGGCTGGCCCCCATGGGGAGCCAAGGGCAGGCCTTGGAGGAACAGGCCTGGTGTGGGAACAGCACCCTGGAGCAAGGGCTGCAGCACAGCAGTGACAAGGCCAAGGAGGGCACCTTGTTCTCCCACCTGCACCTTGCTGACCCCCAGGGAGCCAGGCAGGAACAGCTTGAGGTCCTGCAGGAGGAAGAGGCCAACATGGCTCTGGAGCAAGAGAAGGATGGCATGAAAACCAAACTGCTACAGCTGGAGTATGTCGTTTGGGCTCTTGAGAAAGAAGCAGATGCAAGAGAGAACAACAGGTTTGGTTTCTAAACATTCTTAGAATGCCTAGCTACACCTTCTAACCTCTACCACTGCCCCCCCCCCCACATGGGTTTCATGACAGCTGCTGATGGGGGTTATGTAACTCTTGTGCCTGTGCATCGGTCATAAGCCCATCCCTGACCCTGGGCATCCCACAGGTCACCAGATAACCAACGAGTGGGCGGGGGCAGAGCTGGGTCATTCTGGGCAGCTAAGCTGACTGGTGTCCCCTGGTCTTCCTTAGGAAGTTCTTGCTGATCTCGCAAAGACAAAGACAGACTGTGTTTAGAGCCCCACTTCAATTCTGGGTCACCTGAACCCTCTTCCTGCTGACTTTGAGCAGGACCTACTACTTTGCCCCACCAGCACATGTGCCAGGCACTGTCCTTGAACTGCAAGTTCCTGTGCTTTCTAAGTAGAGCAACAGAGGAGGCCAGCAGCCATCCAGGCAGCCCTGGCACCTTCTGGGAGGCTGGGGTGGGTTGTGAGTGCTCAGGGGGTTTCAAGATGCTGCTGCAGTTGATTCCTCTCCAGGGGAAGCCTCAAGGTGGGATGGTGTCCTGGAGATGTTGGTCTGTGGGCAAAGTGCAGAGAACACCCAGGTGTGCATCCAGGCCCTCCTCCTTCCCAGGATCCCCTGGGGGACTCAGGCTGACACATGTTCTTTCTCAGAAACCTAGAATTCTAGAAACTAAGCTTTTCCAGATGCGGCAGCACATGGTCTTAGATGCTTTTCTGGTTCCTTAGGAGACTGATGGCTGCCCTGGGAGAGGTTATAGGTACTTGCATGCCAGGCACAGCCACGTGATATGGTCAGTGCTCTGTGTGAAGTGTCATTTAGTCCCATTAACCCCTACACAGCACACCTGTGAGGGGTCCACTTCCTGTGGAAATGGAGGCTCTGTCAAGTATTGTGTCACTTGTCCAAGTAGGTGACTTGGGTCTGTCTTGGAATGTGGTCACAGGTGTGTGGTGAGACCTGCATTCCAGCTCAGGCACCAGCTTCTGGGTCTGGGTGACTATGGTGGGGTAGCTTCCTTGGAAAAAAAAAAGGAGAGTTGGGATTTATGTTAAACCAAACAGAATAAATGTCAGTGCACCACCCAGCTGACAAAAAATTATGAGCATAGCTATAAGTCCCTAGGCACCATTGCTAAGCCTCCTCTCTCCTCTCAGAGATAGCTGTCCTGAAGGGGCTGTTTATCAGTTTATAGACATTGCTTGATGTGCAGCCTCTTAGGTGGGTGTCTCTGAGCCATGTAGCACCTTGTTTGTGGTGGCCTGACTTCTAAATTTCCTTATCCATCAAGTTGCCATGGTGCCATGTCTCCAGTGGGCCACTGAGCACAAAATGAGTGTAGAACATGCACTTACTATCCCAACTTCTTCATAGCAAGCCCCCCACAGGGGCTGGTCTCCGGCCCTATGGACACACTGTGGGGGCCTGTTCTGTGCATGAGTCCATGGTAGGCTCCAGGCACACCCAGGGCCTTGGGCACAGAAGCAGCCAAGAGCCTTGAATCTCACTGTGCCGTTCCTCTCGGACACCTCCCCATGGACAGGTGCGTGTGCCCACACCTGTGCTGTCCAGATTCCCCAGCCCAGTGCCAAGTAGTCTGCTGCTCACTGGCCTGAGTCAGAAGGCTGCCCCTCTCTCTGCTTTTCCTGGTCTGCACTCCCCACCTGTTGACCCTATAACTATAGTCACAGCTGTAGTCTCAGCAGGGTCTTTTGACAGTGTTTATGGGGCATCTTCTGTGTGGCAGTGCAGCTAGGGATTGTAGCAAAGAGCAGAACAGATGTTAACAGCTTTCAGCCCATGAGGGAGGCACCATGCTTCCTGCATGTCCAAGTGTCAGGAAGAAATGTGTTACCATGTTTCAAGGATGAGGAAACTTAGAGGCCATGCTGCTGAAACCATGTACATTTTCCAGAGACATGTGCACATATGCTGAAAGCCTAGGTGAATGTATAGAAATGACCAACCAAAATTCAAGCTGATAGTTTTCTGGGAGGTGGGGGGTCAGGTCTGGGAAGGCAGGGGAGGCACTGGGGCAGAAGCAGGCTTGGCCCAGGTTAGAAGGCTTTGGGGAACGAGAAGATAACTGTGCAGAGGGGGGAATGTAGATGGGAGCCAGCTCTCGTGGGCAGGGGAAGGATTTTCAGGGGGCAGGCTGCTGGGGCTCTGAGCCAGGCAGCTGTGGAAAGGTGCTCTCAGGTATCCAGGAAGACTGAGAAGAGCATATTGCAGGGACTGTGGGGTGGGTATAAAGGCAATGCGGAGGCCGGCAGAGGGCAGGGGGAGGTGGATATTACAGCTGTCCAGGCAAGAGGTGACAGTGGCTGGGGACCAGAGTGATGGCATCAGAGGTGTAGGAAGTTGACTGGCAGGGGTGTGGAGGCCAAGTTGATCAGTTATAGGAGGATGGGATATACACAAGGTGTTGGAAATGGGTCACAGAGCAATCAGAGGACTCCCCAGAAATGCCACTGACCAAGAAGTGGGGAGGGCAGGATTCAGTTACACATGAGGAGCCTGTGGTGTCTTTCGCAGAGTGTGGTGGGTGGAGAATTGAGGAAGGATCCCACAGAGGAAGGGGAAACCAAGGGGCTGCATTTTTAGGGGAAGAATCCTGGAAGGAGAGAGGAACACCTGTCTCTGAAGCCCTTGAGAGGCCGGTTCACACAAAACCAGCCTTGAAGGAATCTACCAGGCTCAGCAACATGCAGGTGCTTGCTGAGCTCATTGGCATCCCTCCAACCCCAATGCTGGGTCCCCAGTCCCAGCTCCTGCTCTGTGAGGGGAGGTCTGGCCCCAACACTAGCCAGGAGACCCTTGGCCACAACTCCCAGTGTGTTGGCCTTGTGGCCATTTGTAAGTAAACACGTGTGACCACCTTCCAAACCCACAGCAGTTGTAGGCTCACAGGTTGGGCAGAACTCAGACTTACAGGATCTTGAAGGCCATGGTGAAGATTTGGGCCTTTATCATAAAAGAAAGCAAAGTGCAGAGAGATACACAACCAGATTTGGATTGTGAAAGAATTTCTGCCAGTATTTTAGAGAATAGCAGGAGTAACCTGAATATCCACAGGGTTAAATTTATCCACAGTCACCTCTCCTATTGCTATTTTGCTCTACACACACACAAATCTACACATACCCTTTTAAAATATTTTCTGAATCATTGGAGATAATTGCAGACATTATGACTCTTTACTGCTAAATGTTTCAACATGTTGTTCTGTAAGAACAAGGACATTCTCCTGCATATCCACAGGATCATTATCACATATGGGAAATTTAGCATGAATATGCTGCTATTTTTAATTTGCACTCTACATCCAGATTTCACCAGTTGTTTTGGTATGTTCTTTCTAGATTGTTCACTCAACCTATATCTAATCAAGGATCAGGCCATGCATTTAGTTAATCATATCTCTTTAATATCCTTTTTTAAAAAGTTTACTTATTGAGAGAGAGAGAGAGAGAGAGAGAGCATGCATGCTCGAGCATGGGGCTTGATCCCATGAACTGTGAGATCATGACCTGAGCCGAAATCAAGAATTGGTTGCTCAACTGACTGAGCCACCCAGGTGCCCCATATCCTTTAATCTAAGAGTGTTTCCATCTTTTTTTATTAATTTTTTTGTCAGTGGATGTTGACTTTTTTTTTATCATGGTAAAATATACCTAATGTAAAATCAACCATTTTAATTGCTTTTAAGTATATAATTTGGTGGCATCATGTATACACAATGTGCAGTCATCACCACTGACTACTTCCAAAACTTTTTCATCATTCCAAACAGAAACTCTGTACCTATTAAACAATAATTATTGCTAGTATTTTATGAGGATTTTAGCATCAATATTGGTAAAGGATATTGGTCTCTAGTTTTCCTGTACTGTCTTTATCGGGCTTTGATATCATAGTAATGCTGGCCCTGTGGAATGAATTAGGAAGTGTCCCCTCCTCCTCAAATTTTGGAAGAGTTTGAGAAGTATTAGCATTTTCTTCTTTTTTTTTTTTTTCAACGTTTATTTATTTTTGGGACAGAGAGAGACAGAGCATGAACGGGGGAGGGGCAGAGAGAGAGGGAGACACAGAATCGGAAACAGGCTCCAGGCTCTGAGCCATCAGCCCAGAGCCCGACGCGGGGCTCAAACTCACGGAGTGCGAGATCGTGACCTGGCTGAAGTCGGACGCTTAACCGACTGCGCCACCCAGGCGCCCCAGCATTTTCTTCTTTAAATGTGTGGTAGAACTCACCAAGGAATCCTGGTAGCTCCTGGGCATTTCTTTGTTGCAAGTCGTTTGATTAACTAACTCAATCTCCTAACTAGTCATAGGTCCAATTAGATTTTTTATTTCTTCATGAGTCAGTTTTGGCATACTGTGTGTTTCTAGGAATTTGGACATTGATGTTTTTGAAAAATCAAGACCAGGTGTTTTGCAGAATTCCTCCATTTGGATGCCTGATTTTCCCCTTGGTTAGATTCCTTCTTATATCTCATGCCTTCTTTATAGGATCTTTTTCTTTCTAATGTGTAGTCTTTAGAAGTTCCCTTAGTGAAACTCTGTTGGAGTAAATTCCCTCAGTTTCTGTTTATCTGAAAATGTCTCAAAATTTCCCTCTTTTTTGAAAGATAGTGTTCCTAGGAACACAAATCTAGATTTAAGGGCTGTTCTCTGCCCTTTGAACATATTCAGTATCTTCAAGATTCCACTGTTGACATTAAGTAGTCTACTCTGTTTAGTTATTGCTGTATATGTGTATTAATTTTCTATGGCTGCTGTAACAAATTACCACAAAGTTAGTGGCTTAAAACAACACAATTTATTATTTTATAGTTTTGGAGCTTAGAAGGAAATGGGTATGACTGGACCAAAATTAAGATGTTGGCAGGGTTGCCTTCCTGTAGTTATAGAAGATAATTGCTCTTCTTGCCTTTTCTAGCTTCTGTGGGCTGTTTGCATTCCTTGTTTTTGGCCCCCTTCCATCTCTAAAGACAGTGATGACTGGTCAAGTCTGCCTTACATCACATCATTCTGATACCCACTATCCTGCCCCTTCCCTCCACGTTTAAGGACCCTGTGATTACATTGGGCCCATCTGGAGGATTCAAGATTTATAGCTGTAGCTCATTCATATGGTTCATTGCTGTGGAGTGTTATGTGAATATACTACAATTTACTCATTCACTTGTTGATAGGCAATTTGAGTAGTGTTTAGTTTAGGTTTTGGTCATCACAAATAGTACTGCTAAGAAAGTTCTTGTCCATGTCTTTTGGAACATTTATGTTGGAGTGTACCTAAGAATGGAATTGTCAGGTGATAGGGCATAGGTGTGGTTTTCTTCTACCTACTGTATTTAGAAAAGCATTGTGCCCATTGAATTTGTGTCTTATGAAAAACTTCCAGCCATTATTTATTTATTCTTTTTTTTAATATGAAATGTATTGTCAAATTGGTTTCCATACAACACCAAGTGCTCATCCCAACAGGTGCCCTCCTCAATACTCCTCACCTACCCCCACCCACCCCCCGTCAACCCTCAGTTTATTATTCTTTAAGTAGACTTCACATCCAGCATGGAGCTCATTGTGGGGTTTGAACTTATCCTGAGATCAAGACCTGAGCTGAGATCAAGAGTCAGACACAACCAACTGAGGCATCTAGGCGCCCCTTCCAGCCATTATTTTTAAAACATGGATTTTCCTCTTGCTCTACAATTAGATGTATGATGTTAGAGCTTTTCACTTTCCCTCCATTTCTTCCCTTCCATATCTTCTTTTCTCACTTGTCTCATTCTGGGTGTTTTTTTTCCCCATTTCTGTGTTCCATATCAGTAATTCTTCCTTCAGCTTTATCTAAATCTGCCGTTTAACCCATTCAATGAGGTTTTAGTTTGACATTGCCTTTTTTTTTTCATTTCCAAAAATCCTATTTTGTCCTGTTTGGTCTGATCATTTTTGATAGGTATTTGTTACTTATTTATTTTTTTATTTCCATCTTTTATTTGCATAAACATTTTCTAATATTTATCTCTAGTTTGTGTCTGGTAATTCCAATATCTGAGGTTCCTATGGGATCTAATTCTGTTGTTTTGCTTCTGCTACCTCTCAGAGGCAGCTTTTTTCCATGTATGTTGTGGTGATCTTTGTAAGCTAATGTTTACATGATGTTAATCACTGGGAATCTCAGGAGCCATAGTAGGGTGCTTTCTGCAGAAAGGGTAGGTATTGCATTTGCTGAGAATTGAAAGCCTCCCAATCCAGGGCCACTTTAACCTCCTTTTAGGGCACTGGCTTAATGCAGGAGTCCATGCTGCTGATGGCAGTGCTGACATAGGCATTGGCCTCAGGGTAACTCTATCTTTGTGTTGCTTAATACTTAAAGCTGGGGTTTCAGCTTCCAGGTTTTTATTTTGTTAGAGGGCCCTTGGAGGTTTCCATTACCATCTGTGAGGACAATCACCCATTATATGATCAGCCTCACACTTCTCTAATTGCTTGGTGTGGTGAGGTGGATAGGATAGGACACCATCAGTTTATCTGAGGTCCAGGAAGCTTTAAGTGGGAACTGCCCCCCTTCCGCCCACCCCTCCCCCCCCCCATCTGCACTGAATCAATTTTTTTCCCATTCTGGAGTCAGAATGGTACTTTCCAAACACAGACCTCATTTGTTTCACTCCCCTGCTTAAAACCTTTTACTGCTTTAAAAATTCCAATAATTAACCTTTCCTTATTTTTCCCGTTAGTTTCTCATGAGATAAAATGAAGTCATATTTATGCTTATTAAGAAGACATTTATGCTTGGTATTATAAGCATATTACATAAAATGAACATGACAAGATCACATGGCTTTGAGTATTTTTCGCTTAAAACAATTAGAAGCTAATGCCAGATAAGGACCAATGGGGGAAATAAATGTCAACCAGACCAGTATCTACTAAGAATAAATTTCTTTCTTTTTTTTTAAATGTTTGTTTATGTTTTGAGAGAGAGAGAGAGAGAGAGAGAGAGAGAGAGAACAAGTGGGGTAGGAATAGAGAAAGAGGGAGACGCACAATCCGAAGCAGACTCCAGGCTCTGAGCTGTCAGCACAGAACCCAGTTTGGGGTTAGGACCCACAAACTACGAGATCATGACCTGAGTTAAAACCAGACGCTCAACCGACTGAGCCACCCAGGCACCCCTGAAGAATAAATTTCTTGTCCAGCAAATATGGGTTTTAAGCTGTCTCTTTCATGATCTTTACTGGTAAATTGCTCATCTATCATACGTCACTAGTGTTACATTAGTGGAGACCTCTAAGTTATAAGAGAGCAAAAGTGGCTCCAGGCAGACATGGTTCATGTGGTAACTGTTCATGCTTGCTTCTTTCCATTGAGGCCTCTACCTTGTGTCAGGTATGATGCCCACTAATGTGGACATCTTCCCAGTTTCTCCTCCCTAGTGTTGACCTCAGAGTGTACAATGAGGGGAGCTCTCACTAAAAAGGAAAATGTGTTTTGGTCTTCTGATTCCTTATGTTCCTGAGCTCTATGTCAGAGTTCCTTGGTGGGAGATGAATATCCTTTGCCGTAACCTGAGGACACACAGCCTCCACAGTTGTGCATTCATACCAACTGTGAGCATACTCCTATTGCAGTTAGTGGTTGTAAGATGCAGTAACAGATTCCCTATAAACATAAACAGAACCAAGGTGCTGAATACATTAGTGAGTTGTTGATTGTGTGACTGTTTTAGAAGGTAAGAAAGCTTTATTTTCTGTAGCTTATTGCTTAGGAGATGCAAACCATAGCATGTTAGCTGTGCATAGAAAAAATAACAGTGTGCCCTGTGCCATCATCCAGGGATGATGCAAGATCACCATGACTTCCAGCTGCAAGACCAGACTCATGTGGACTGCATGTGGCCAGCTCCTGAAGTCCCCAGCTTCTTTTTTTCAATTTTTCATGCAGAATCGAGTTGGATAGGCTTTCTGAAGAAAATACATTGTTGAAAAATGAGCTGGGAAGGATTCAGCAAGAGCTTGAAGCTGCAGAAAAGACAAATGATGCACAGAGGTAAGGGCCCTGGCTCAGTCATTATAACTGGACTCCAGTCTGCAACATGCTTTGCTTTTTGTGCAATGGGCTTAGAAGGTACTGCTGTGGAAAGTGGGAAGTGTTAACACACCAACACCAACGCTGAGTTCCAGAAAACCACAAAGGCGAGCCATGCTGACCTCTGACCAGCCCTGATAGGCGTGGGAGGGCTCAGATCCCTTTCCAGATGTTGGCAGCCACGTTCATTCCTGGGCTCCTAAGTATGAGGTAGAACATGTGCACACTGCGGCACAGTCAGCACCGTGGTGGACAGCTCCAGCTTGGGCCACTTCTCTCTGAAGTCTTTCCATCCCATGGAGCTGCTCCATATCACGCCTCAGGGTGGGGGTGGGGGACAGTGAGTATTTCTTTAGCAATAAGAGATGCTTCTGGGGCCATTTTGGAATCTGTTTTTTCATGTTTTGATAATGATTTTAGTTGGGCTTCTCCATGGTTTGTGGATTTCAGTGGGTTAGAATAAGGGGTAGAGGTGGGGAAGGGGAGCAGGAACTGAGGCAGGAGAGACTGTTTGTGGAGGGGAGAAAGCACAGAGTACCCATCTGTGGCTTTCTGCTTTCACTACTGTAGTCTTATCCAAGGACAGTTTGTTTGACTTTTTTTTTTTCATCTCTGAAGTTCAACATGATTAAAATATGGCATCCCCAGAGCAGATGGTCAACAACTGGTTGGTATTATGTTACAGCATTTCAGAAATCTAAAAGTTTTTTTTTTTTTTT